TTTGCAATTACTGCCCTTTTTGATCTATACTATGTATTTAAAGTGCACTGTGCCTTTCATTATGTGTTTCACCGTCAAGTTTTGGGGGAGCGTGGGGTATGTGAGCTAGCTCACTTTTTCTTTCATTTTTGTAATAGTTCAGTAAAATAATTCTTCATTGATAACATGTAGAAAATCATAAGTAAAATTTGCTTTTAACTAAATATTTATTGTTATAATGTTTCAATTTCATTGTCATTTTTCATCAAGATATTTGATAATTTTGACTATGTAAAAAGAGTTTACGTCTCCCCCCAACCTGACAATTAGTCCGTGTTTGTCCTTCTATTTTGTGTTGTTTTAGGAACTTTTTATCATGAATACTGTTCGTTATCTCCATATCTTTCGTGTATGCTACAGTAACTGTAAACCGAAGAATGGTACTGTCTCCATTATTACTTGGGGTAGATATTCGTCCCATCTGTTCTGTTCTCTTTGACTATACATGGTGAGCATTCTTGCTAAGGTATGATTGAAACGTTCAATATTTCCTTTACTTTGAGATCTCGTACTAGTCGTTCTGGTTTTGTCTATACGAAATAATTGACACATTTGTTGAAACGATTGAGATTCGAAGTTGCGACACAAGATGGTTCTGGAGTTGTGTGCCAAAACTACAAAAGAATTCTTTTAGTAATACTTTCAGAACTGTTTCTGCCTACTGGTTGAGTATTGCATACTGTCCACTCGCTGAAACAATCGCAGACGATCAGTACATGTATATACTTGTTGCCTTGGAGGGATAGAGGAAGCGGACCCATGATGTCGTGGTCAATTCTCTCCACTGGTTCACCAACCAGATATTGTCTATGGGGTGCAACTCTTTGTCAGCAGGTTTCTATCTTGCAGAAAATCTCAAACAAGCTCTAGCTACAGTGCCACCCATTTAAAAAAACTATATTTATTACGCACAAAAAAGTACCCTGATTCTCAATTTATTTCTCCATATTTTCATACTGTCATCTCAAATATTACTAACCGTGTGTTCCTTACGTATTCTTTTACTGTTTCGAACAACAAAAACATTCCTTATAATTGTTGTTAATAGCCCCTTCTGCCCCTGAAATTGAGATCATCGAAAATTTCGTCTATTAATACTGCCATTTTTGTTTGCAAGATAATTCGGTCCAACACACTTCGTGCAGATGTCGACTACGAGAGTACTTCATAGAGGAGTAAGAATTTTTTTTTGAAATCTGTATTATTTGCGTTTGAGTTTGAGGTAAGAATTTGGAAGAATTGATCCAGAACTAAGCGCAACTTTTTGTGCGCAATAACTATACAGTTTTACAATGGGTGGCACTGTAGCCCTCCTGTCTGTCAATATCGATTCTATAGTTTGTCGGAAAGTTCTACTACAATGGTGTGGTTAAAAGGAATTGATGAATTTTTTTTCGATCTTATGTACTAAATGTAAAAATTTTAGTAAGGTTTCATCCGAAAGTGTTGAAAATTTATTTCTGTGATAGGAGAGTATGATTCTATCAGCACTTTTCGAGGTACAGAAATTATATTTTACATAACTATTATTACAGATAGACATTAATTATACCGTACAGCGGGTTTTTTTGGCGGGTGTAAAATTTGGTGTTTTGCCTACTCAAAGCATCTTCCCAAGTCAAGAGTTTCTGATCCGCTACGCTCCACATAAACCCTTGACCGAATAGGCTGAGTTTGACAGGGTTTACTGTCACGCCATCTAGTGCGATTACACATTTTGAACTCTACTGACCTCTGCTATTAGCCAATCAGAGTAAACAAATTCCACAGAGAATTCGAGATAATACTGGTAGTCGGTAATAAATTCAATATAACTCAACTAAAAAGCTGAGACAAACCTTTAACTGGGCTATTCAGTTATAAAAACGTTATCCTTGGGATTAAACTTGCGTGTTTTTCTGTTTACGATTTAGTTTCAGTTTGAATAAAAAATGATTTGATGATGGTTCATGCAAACTTGCATGAAAAATCAGAGAACGCATTTCTAACCCCGTCAAACTTAGCCTATTCGATCAAGGGTTTATGTGGAGCGGAGCGGATATGAAATTCTTGACTTGGGAAGATGGCTCAAAGCTATGCCAATAATTATGGCGTAATTCTTTTAGCGGACCCCGGGTCTCAGCTCTTTGCAGATGGACACAAAGAAGAGTACTAAATATTTTAGCGATTAAAATTTAAGCGAACTATCATCAAAACGCCAAAATAAGCCAAAATTAGCACCCCGCTAAAATAACCCACTATTCGGTATCCGCGGGGTCGTGTAGAAATTTTCACCTTTTCGTTAAGTCATATTTTTTTCTGTGACGTCGTGCTTCCTGTAGTGGAAGTCCCCTTGAAGTTTATAGAATGGATAATGATAGCAAAAGTTTATCCCATGACTTTTCCGATTTATCAATGTTACATTTTACAAAAAAAGTAAAAATTCGCTAACTTCTGATCTAGATCTGTGTGCTGCCTTAAGATACTTGCGTTGTCATTACAGTTAATGTTTAATCCAATCCAAATGGCTTCTCTTACTAGGAAGATTAGGCTTTAAACCTGAAAAATTGGCAAACTGGAAAAGAAGATCTCTTCAAACTTTTTTCCGATCCTTCCAAGAGTATAACTGTTTCATCTGCATACGTACTGTATTAAGCATACCATTTCCTCAATTTTCACCCCCTTTATGTTTTTATTTTATCTAATAAGGTGAGTATGGCTTTTGCATCGTGTTTCTCCCCTAGGTTCCTTTTGATAGGAAAGTACTGGGTGTCTCAATCTTCTTCAGATTTACTGCACCCAGAACTTAACATAATTCCCTAGATTACTTGCCACTGGTGCTTATTCTGTTCTTACCCTTGACTTCTTTTCTCTATCAATCGGTCTTCTCATTTCAGCCTTCAGATTCAGCCGTAACCTTCTAAATGCCTGATTTTCCAAAGCTTCGCTTTATATACCCTTGGCTGGTCTATTCCAAGGGTAGTCAGGTCATTCCATTATTTTGGGTCTTCTGTGCGTTTATTTATTGCCCCATAACCATTACAATACTTCATTAATAAGGGACACAAACAGTGGTTATTTATACTATTTAACAGATTCAACTTGTAAATACTAAGGACAAAGAGAGACAACTCTACTAAACGTCAATAAGTTTGTAGCAAAGTAACATTTTAAGAACCATAGCGGGTATTTATGTTTCTGACATGGCGTATCTGAACTAAAATTTATTATAAATGTTTGAAAATGAGTTTAGATATACATGATATATGCTATTTATGTAAAATATGGTAATATAACCTATTTCGAGCTTGAATAACCTCACGTTTTTATTGTTAAATTGACTTTAAATTGGTCTACATTTTGTAAGTGTGGTTTCGGTAAATAAATCGATCATTGTTTCAAATTCTTAAGGTCTTTCGATCCTCAGTTTTAATGGTTGAAAGTACAAAACCTGCATTTATTTTCATTTAATACACTTTATAGAGAAAACACATGAATGAAGATACCCAGGAATGAGTTATTGCCCTTGTCAGTATTTTTTAAAGGTTGAATATCTAATTGATTAAATAAAGAAAATATATACATTTTTTAAATTCTTTAAATGTAACTCAAAAATATTTATCATTTCACCTATTGAAAAGCATTCTTCCAAAAGACATTGTTACATTTTGTATGAAGTTGAATTAATAACAGATTTTGCAAAAAACCTTTGACATCATAAGAGGATGGAAATACCTTAATATCTTTGAAATGCGATTAATTTAAATTGTGTAAATTACAGGAGGGTCCTATGTAAAATAACAAATAGAAATATCTTTTTCTTTAATTTTGGTAATCTGAACTTATTTAACAAAATTCGAAAGATCACAAACTTGTAAGTTAAATTTAAATAAAAATTAAACAAGCCCGTTTTCGGTGTCTTTGTTGGTGAGATGCCATTTTTATGTCATATTGTTTTAAATATGAACGCCGTATCATTTGTCATTCAGAAGTTATCACTGAAGTTGAGTTTTTAATTAGGTCAATCGTGAAGGTCATGGGGTCATAAATCATTGCGTGCTCGGAAATATCTTACCACAGGTAATGCACATGTCAAATGTGAAAGCCCCATCTCTTCTCAATCAAAAATAGTTTAAGGTCAAGGTCACAAGATCAAGAATCATAATGTATTTAAAAAGGTGTAAACAGGCCATGAGCTCTTTAATTGTTAATGTTTACGATTCACCGGGTGTGTTCAATTGTTTAAGTCTGCACACACCACTGAGCACGGACTGACAATATACTTTGAGAGGGTTTTGCTTTCCAGCATTTTTACTCTGAATTTTCTAGTATTTTTCATAAATACACAACAAAATTGCCAATTTATTAAGAATAAAATTAAATTAAAATAATTTGTGAAAGTGCAATGGGTGTGTTAATCAAACCCGTCCAGAAATTTAAAGTTTCAATAACTTCGAGATAAAATTAAGATTTTTATTATTGAATTTTCGTGTAAAATGCTATTGCGATATATAAGTCGTGATAATATACAGGAAATCTGAGGAAACATCAACTTCAAATCTGTGAACAAAGATCCTCGATAACTAATGCATATTTTGAATGAATTGTGTTGAAAACTAAGATAATTTAAAAAAAAATCCTCGGGCAGAAAAAATTAGGACAGAAAGAAAATTTAAATTGTCTGTTAATTTGTCCTTTGTAGCCCCGAATGACTCTTGGCCAGTGGAAGAGCAAGGAATGAGTCAATGTGAAATCTTTCATTATGGCAGAAGTAGCCCGCCATAGAACTTTTATAATGTTTGAGGTTGTCGTTAAATGTTTTATCGATGTTACGATTAATATTTATGAAAATAGTGGGAGATTTTTTGCCATTCGCAGTTTTATTATTATATCAACATCCAAATGGTTCAAATATATGAAAGTTCAGTATGTAAATAATATAAGTCGCAAACCGGAAAAATAACAAACCCAGAATGTTATTGGCTCAAATTGTCAGTGAACACGTGCTGAAGGAATGATTACGGTAGAAACTGGGCTATTGTGTCATAAAATAAACAAGCATGCAGTAGAGAGGCAAAGATCGAATCCTTGAGCGAAGTAAACAGCCATAATTGGCTTATGGAGGTAAATATGGCGAATATGTTTAATTCGAATAGGCCTACATGTAATCGTGTGTACACGCATTGACAGTAAATGTACAAAAGCTCAGATATTGTTTACCGTATTTTCGCACATCAGCAAAACACGAAGTAAAAAGTTATCCATCACGGAATTCATTTCGCATTTGCACGTGATTGACATTCTTGTTATAGAGTAGGATTCAGTATGTTCAATGCACAGGCAAATAGCTTCTGCATGCATGTTTACATGGTTTATTACAATGTCAGCGATAATTAATGCACCGGTGCGCTCTAATTGTCCATTTAGTTTTTGTATAGACGAATCTAGAGTCCTTTATTATACGTAAACAGCATTTGCCATCTGTACGTATCAGGTAAATTATGCTTTAGTTTGGTTCAACTCATTACCAGTATTAATTAAAATATAATTATCCTGGACAATGGTATTGATTCATTTATGCTGTTGTCAGCCAGCATTGGCTGTATATTATTATTTTTTCTAGCTAATTCTGATTAAAGGTAGATTGACATATCTTTAGAGGTTATCTGTGAAAAAGCTGGATCTTAGACTACCTATGGAAGGTTATTTAACCAGTATATTTATTTGTAAATGTTTACAAAATAAAATGTTTAAATATTACACATCCAAGATTTTTCAGGATTATGTAAGAGCTAACTCTTCTTATCTTGGTTTATTGACACAAATGTCAACAACTAGGTCACAACTCTAACGGCCATGCAAGGGTTATTTGATAAGCAAATTGTTTAAATATCTTTGGATGTGTAATATTATGTACTTGTAAATAAATTTTGGTATAATTTGGGTGCACGCATGCAATTTTTTTTTGTTTCGTTCGTTTTTTTTTTAAATTTAGTTATACTATGGAGGGATTTGTTTTGTTCTTTTCTTTTGTAAATAACTAAGGACAGATCCCTTTATTTAAATTTTATATGCATGCTAAAAAAATTATCATAGTGGGATTATTCATTGTGTTAGTTGTAATATTCAGAGAATGTTCATATCATAAATTTTTATTAAAAAAATACTTTGGTCTGCTTTGCCAAAAATAATTTAAATGTTTGATTTTTTTTATAGACAAGTAAGTTGCCATGGAAACCTTTGGAGGGACATGGCGAGACAATTGCCAACAGCAGGGCGACAGGATGGATTTGGGCGAGGAACTTCTGGAGGCAATTTGGTGCAACAAGCCTGATGAGGTTTCCAAACTGATCGATGATGGGGCCGATGTTAATCAGATGGGACTGGTTTTCCAGGATGAACCTATTACCCCTTTAAGCCTAGCATGTAAAATGGGGCACATGGACATTGTGAAAATTCTAGTCCAGAGGAAGGCGGACTTGAACCAGTCAGGGCATGATGGGAAGACTGCTATGCATTACGCTTGTGAAGGAGATGAACGAAGGGATGAAAAGAAAGAGAATTTACTGGAAATACTGGGCTTTCTTATAAAGAATGGTGCTAATGTGGAGGCTATGAACAACATGCGATGTACTCCACTTTTTTCCGCATGTGAAATGGATGATGTGGATATGGTTAAACTATTGGTGCAGTCTGGTTGTAAAGTGAATGTGCAGTCAGTGAATGGTGATTCCCCCATGAAATTGGCCTGTAGGAATGCTAAGTTCTGGACATACTGGCATAGTAGGGAAATGTATGCTAACAGTACGCAGTGTAATCCCCATAATTTACCACCAGTTCAGATAACAAAGATATTGCTGCACTCCAATGCTAACATCTCAGAGGCCACCCTTCTCCCGACTGCTGTGCAGTTTGGTGACCTAAAACTTGTGAAAGAACTGATTGAGTTAGGGATGGACATCAATATGCTGGATGACAATATGTGCACACCTCTAGGTTCTGCATGTTCATGTGTGAATGTGAAAGCAGATGTAGTGAAACTTCTTCTGGAGCATGGTGCTGACATCAATCGAGGAGGCGGGTGGAAGAAGCAGAAACCAATCATCTTTGCCTACGTCCACAATTCTGTGAATAAAATCAAACTTTTGCTGTCTTACGGAGCTACATTAACAAGGGAGGAAATGACTAATCTAGTATCGCTTTCATTTTCGAAAGCTATTTTAGAAAACCCTGAAGTCATAACTCCATGGAGTAAAGAGCTGATGTCCTGGAACTTGCTGCTGGCTGCAGGATTTATTCCTGTGGACAATGACCCCGTCCTTGCCAATAAACTAGATCAACTCCGTCTGTGTAGCAGCTATGACAAGATTAGTCCCTGGATATGGGACATGATATTTCCTTCCAGATCTTTAAAAGATTTGTGTCGCATTGCCATCAGAGATAATTTGAAAAACCTTGTCAAAGATATTGCCATTGAATTGCTTCCATTGCCGACAGAAATTAAAAAATATCTGCAATTTAGTGAATTTTATTTGCCAGAGAAGGTCACTTCTAGTGATTCATATGGTTCTAAGTCTCCTGTCAAACCGCCTTGTACATAATATAACATTATTGTAATATGATTACATTAATTTTGCTGTTGACCAAAGTATGTATCCAATTTTAATTTATATCGCCAAAGAATTTAAATATGTGCTGATTGTATTTTATTTACATAGATGTAGGTTATTATTGCGAATTATTAACACGTGCCATATTATTCAGTTGTGAGAAGGAAGGCATTAAAATTCGTGCATTTTGTTTGCAACAAACCATTACTAGTATTATCATTCTGTTAAATTATTTATATACACCTGAATTAAAAATGCTTCTAAAATATATTGTTTTGCATCAAGAGTTCTAAATTGTAAAAATCATGACCCCCGGGGGAAGGGCGGGGCCACAATTGGCAATCAAAGTTTTACATAGAAATATAAAGGAAAAATCTTTGAAAATCTTCTTCTCAAGAACACTGGGCCAGAAAAGCTGAAACTTATGTGGAAGCATCATGGGGTAGTATAGATTTCAAAATGTCTAAATTATGATCTGTGGGGTACATTTATATTACTTCCATCAATAGACTGAAAATAAGAGAACCTCTCAATTGAAAGGACACAGAATTCACAAGAGGGTGGGAATGCATTATGTACTACAAGGGGGAAATCTGGTAAAGAACAGAATGGTCAAAGCTAATTCTCAGGTGAGCGATGTGGCCCATGGGCCTCTTGTTCCTTTTGTAAAACCACGAAAAAACAATAAATCAAAAAAAAAAAAAAAGAAATATCGCATATGCAAAAATCCTGTATTTTTTACTAAGTATGTAATTATATATAGCATCTATATTTATACATGATTAATTAAATAAATGCATGAACAGGTCTATCCCATTTCTAAATGATGCTATCTATATTTTCATTCACTGAATTAGCTAATTGAAGGAACATAATTTTTTTTAACTTTATAAATGACATTTTATCAATACGTGTATATTTCACTTTGGTAGAAGTACATGCATCATTATTTATTTTAACTAATCAAATTAAAGTCCACCGTGGATATGTAAAGATGTAAAATCTACATTACCTGATAATACGACGGATTCTGAAGATTTTCTTTTAACTATAATCAGTCTATTCAAACTCCACCGCACACGTGCATAATTAAAAATATATGCAAAAAAAAAATAAATAAATAAAATAAAAATAAACAAATAAAAAATAAAGCACCGCTGCCTGATTTTAAAGCGGGTTTTCAAGATATTTAACCCCATTTGCGTCGAAGCGTTTGTAATTTTCTGTTTAAAATTCGCTTATGAGCATTTAAAAAATTACAATTTACTCGAAGGTAGTAAGGTCCTAATTGGACTGAGTCAATCTAGCTGCTCTGCCAAAGAGCAGTGATATGTAAATATCCTTACTGTGTTAAACGTATATGAAATGAAGCTAAGTCTAAGAATTGTTTATATCACAGGCGGATTTAGACCCCCCAACACTCTGTGTCCAAAACATACATGAAATAATTACTAGTAATAAATCAATTTTTTGGTGTGGCTGTGGACCCTGACCTCAAAATGGTCGCCCTCCCTTCTCAAGATTCCTGGATCCGCCACTGTATTTATATTACTTACCACTTTCAATATTATAATGTAAGACTTGTTACACGATAAACAATGAAAAGAACATTTTTTAAATTATTATTAAACCAGTCATTGTAATCTATACTTAAATATCGATGAGGATTCAACGAAAAGTTTGGGGAGGTGTGCGCTTTATAAAACGTGAAAAAAGAGCGTTTAACTTTATATTGTTTCTATCACAGACTGTGGTGTTCATAAACAATACCTACTACAAACACAAAATCTAAATTAATTTAAAGTTGGTTCAAAATTTATTCTTAATTAAAAGAGGGCGCAGCTTCTTAAAAAATGCAGGTGTCTTTGTCATATTTGTACGTATTTCCTGTCATTCTCGTACGTTTCCATTGTGACGATGTTTGATTATGACGTCACAATAGTTCTATTCACGACGAAATAAGTATGGCGGCATCAAATCCATTTATGAAGTTATTTAGTAGAAGAAGAAACAGAGTGGCCGCATACGCTCCGACAACGGAGACAGCTGAGCATGAAGCTCCTGATATTCCACGACAGACTGTGCCATCTGAAGCTCCGGCTCCGAGACCAAGGAGGGGGATACTGGGTCGGCTGAGGGGCGCCTGGAGGAGGATCAGGAAAATTGGTCGCAACCGGGTGCACCCTCAGCCACCCGAAACGGAACCCCCCGTACAAAATGACAGAGAAATTCAATCTCCGACAGAATCTCTGGCCAGTATCACGATAAGTATAATGAAGACGCCATCATTGATCTCGCTTGTGGCCAGCCAGGCCTATACGTGTGTCTTGAGTGAGGAGGAGGAGGATTCAAATGTTTTGATTTCGTGTTATGACAGATGAATATCCATAAAGGTACGGGTAATACCATAGCCATGTATTAAACGTTTGAGTTAATATGTACCGAAAAATGCCATATTTGATAAACAAGTAAAAATCTACCATTGTAGATGGCATTGCTGTCTTTGTTTGGTAAAGGAGTGAAAAATGTATCAAATTGGTAAAACAGATTTTTCAAAATTATTTTTTTAATTGCAGGTGATGGCTGGCTGTATGACATTGACACCCTCTTACGATATAAAACTTAAGTTCATTTTAGTTCTTCGTTACACGCCAAAGAACAAATCCGGATTCCATATGTTTACCAGATATATAACTGTAAAATAAAATCATCGAAATCTCAGGTCACACGAAAACTATAACCTTTCATTTAATGTCCATATGCTTAATTAAAGTGATACATGTTTCATATGAATTTGTTTTTTTTTTCTGTTAATTTGGTTTTTGATTACAATAAAATATTTGTATTCTTATATACTTGTTCATAATTTATCGAATTTCGAAAATTCTTCTTTTCGTGAATGAAAAAAAAAAGAGTATATATAAAATCAGGAAAAGTTAATGGAGTAACGAGTGAACAAGAAAGAAAAAAAATTAGCATTGTCGTTTAAAACAAATAAAAATAACTGAACATAAAATTTAATTGACCAAACAAATGCTCATGATCTTTATAAATGTTAAATTTTGAAAAATATCTATTCAGTGTTGTAGTAATTCAAGTAAAACTATTAGAATTCAGTGGCGGATCCTGGATTCTTGAAAATGGGGGTCCGTTTAATGGGTTCGGGACAGGGGCCCTAAGTCACACTAATAAATAGATTTTTTAACTCTTATATATTTTGGACACAAAGGGTGAGAGAGGCTGACCCCCCTTTAAATCCGCCATTGGAATTGGTAAATGGCGTTTACAATGTTTACACATGTAGGCGTGTCTTCAGGTAAGGTAGCATACACGTTTTCAAACAAACAAACAAAAAAAATCAAACGAGTCCAAGAAACAGAAGATCAAAGTTGCGATATTTATTATGTTAATTTTACACGTGTTAGAAAAACAAAACGGACACGACTACATTTAATAAAGGTCTCACCTATCTTTGGCAATTACTGGCCACAACAAATCAATTTTCTCTTCATTAAACGGTGCATTAAATCCACCAAAGAAAGGTTGGTTTGCATGACTAAAGTTGTACCACCCATACCATGGAGAAAGGGTAAATATACTTTGCATGGTGTTGAAAATTTCTGAGAGTTCAATGCGGTAAATTTATTAATTCTTTTCTCTGTTGTTTCTATATATTCTGCATTGTAGGACCCTCCAGATTCTAGCCGTTTTTCTAATATTAATGTCAGTTGCTGGTAAGTATATTTTTTTCGGGGAGGGGTGGGGTATAAAATAATTTAAGAAAATTATATATTTATATACTAGTATTAAAATATTAAGTAGTTGCATGTATTTGGAGGTAAAATATTGATATTCGTAACAAAATCATTGATATATGTAGTTGATTCGAACTGTTTTTTTTTTTTTGTTTGTTTGTTTTTTTAATGAAAAACATTTATATTTAAAGGCCGTGTCATTTCCCAAACTCTACAGGCTACGGGCTCAGCTCAGTACTATTCCTCTCCGGGATACCCCATAGCATATCCAAGGCAAGCATGTACACATTGTAAATGAAGGTTTAAAAAATATATTTAAAACGTTTTCAAAGCTTTTCAAAAATTCTTTTTTATCAAAGTATACTATTGTAACTTGCTACGATATTAATTTTTTTTTTTTGAAAATCGCCTTTTAATTTCAAGACTATTCGTACTATTTGAAAATTAATTTGGATTTTAGTGACATTTTCAAACTCGTTGGAATTTTAGTATTATTTTAAAAATCACACTTATTTTAGCAATTTAACACTGAAGACAACCATTATGACAACCGCACAGACAGAAATTCTTTACATCAATTTCTTGGACTGCAATATTGAGTATGCATCGGCAAAAGTACCATATTGTCAGCTTGACCAAATAACGGTTTATGATGGTAGGTTTTGGAAAATTGTTTAACTACCTACATGTAGTTAATATTCGAAGTGAGTCTCTTTCATTGCATATCTTTCGCGTGGAGTCTAACGATTTAATAATATATTTCTATTTTTCTTAAAACAGGTCCTTTTATGAACGATTCCGTTCTGTACCAGGGTTGTTGCTTAAATGACGTCACACAATTACGTAGTTCTGGGACTTCCATTTTGCTACAATTTGTGTCCGATACCACGGTAACGGGGAGAGGGTTTTATATTCAGTACTACACAAACGGCACAGCTACGAGTGAGTCTGACTGTTCAGCTTAATATAGTTACATGTTGTATAATTTTATGCTAAAAAGTAAAAAAAAAAAACGATATCGTTTTCCCCCCGTAATCGATAATTTGAGGGTATATATAGTTTTTGCCCTGTTTGTCCGTCTGTGTGTCGGCAAAACACTTTAACCTTACCCATAGTTTTTGAGTGAGTGGAGCTAGGGCTTTCACCTTTCAGAGGAGTAATTCCTTGTGACAAGACCTTTCTTTCGGTACCACCAAATTTGACCTTTTGACCTTGGAGTTTGACTTTCATTTGCGAAACTTCAACCTTCACCTTTATTTCATCTCAACTTACATTTTACACCCTATTGCAAATCTTTATTTACAAAAATATATATATTATCTATTTATCTACATGCAGATGACGGCAGTGAGTTGTCGACAGGAGGTACCATCGTTCTTATCGTTGTCTTGGTCATCGTTTTTCTTACAAGCGTTGGGGTTGCCTTTCCTCTCCTGTACTACAAATTCAAAGCTCGAGATAAATTCTGTGGCAAAATTCTTCCGACAGAAAGTTTGATTAAAGCGAAAACAGAGGTAGACTTGCAAGATGCTCAGGTTACAGCAACATCCCGAGATAGAGGTCCTGATCTTTTAAAATCTTGTAGTCAAGGAACTCAAGACACAAATTCCAGCAACAATGGAAGGACGCCGAAAGTAAATTCTAAATAGTAAAGACTAACATAAGTTGAGAAAAAAAATTATTAATGAATTTTGAACAGTGTTGAAGTACATGTATTGGGTTTTTGCACATAATTATATTAGTCTAGTGATGTATAAAGAATGTGATTATCAGTGATTATTTTTTGCAAAGCATACAAAAAAGAAAGACAAACCATTGTACATTAACTCAAAATATAATTGTTCATCCTAATATACCATTTTAAATCAAGTCTAAAATTTGTATTTCAATTAGTTGCATATATATTTAAATTTCACGTTTTTTTTTTTTTAATGAAAATTCATTCTTCCTTTGGACGATTTTCAAAGTAATAATATAACTCCAAAGGTTTAATTTTTTTTTCAATTTAAACTTGTATTGTTATGCATAGGTAAATTTAAAATTGATAAATTTTACAGATTAAATTTAAAAAAAATCAATACCAGAAAGAATATAAATTGAGAAGGCATAATGAAATTCCCTTAATTTGATGCAGACTTGAAGGAGTAAAAAACTGATCCCTACTAAAAAAGATCAAAGTTCCTATAAAATGTTGTAAGAAATTAAATGTCATCTCCCCCAACCCGAATTAATTTTGTGCATTTTTAATTTAAATACACGAACGCGGATAAGTCTTTAATTATATGATCATGGTCCCGGCGTGAAAGAAGTTTGTAAAAACCATTTGAGATATTTGATAATTCAAGTTTAATTTCCTGGGGGTGCATCTCGGGTACCCTATTTAGGAACATTCCTTACCGTTAATATTAAGTTGTTTGGGACTGAACAAACCAGCAAATACTCTCTTTAAAATTAAACGTAATAAATTGAAGTGATATACTTTTAAAACATTTTAAAAATATTTTATTTGCCATGTTAAACACAGTAAAATGTTGAAGAAAATATCTGTTAAGCTGCCTTTGAAGTTCGATGAGATTCTCCTCCCAGAGTCATGACTTGGTCGTGAAAGTCTAACTTGGCAGTGTAATGAAAAGCAATGTTTGAAAATACCACCAAATATTCACAGGCAGCGAATCCAGTGTATACTAAAAGACAAAAGAAATTAAATCGTATCAGACAACAAGGAATGATGAAATCGAGATTATTAAAAAAAAATTTAGCTAGGTTTTAAATGTATTTTTAATAAATAACCAACCTCCACTCTCGCAATACCAGTTATGCCTGAAGTACATGTATACTGCCATCAGGAAAATGGAGAGATTGAAGATAAATAAGACAATTTTATAATGGTATGATTTAGTTTCCTGTAAAAGAAAAAAATGGTTTATATTATGGATAATTTCTACGATGTAACACCCCCCCCCACACACTCACAGTATCATACCACATGAAATTAATATAAGCTGGGACTGTGTAAAAAGTTGCCTGAGAATAATGGATTGTTGAAGACAGTATTCAAACAGTAGACATCTCATCAAGCCCACACCCTTATTTGGGTCTTTTTTGCAATTAATTTCTGTTCGTTTAAGAAGGCTTGACATTTCCCCCTCCCACTTCAATGGGGAGAGAAGAATTATTTATTTATAGATCTAGAGCTTATATTCACATGCAAGTGGGGCGGGGGGGGGGGTGCGGACTTTTGAATTCTTTAAGGAAATATATATGTTCAAGTGTATTATCAGGGACACCAAAAAAGCTTATTATAATAAAAGAGAGAATATTAGAACAAAAGGCTGAAAAAAAAAATTAATTACTAATTACGGTTAATACATATTGTTCCTGCATGGTAAAAGTTTATCTTACCCTGACCTATCTTTTCCTCAACTTTGTTTTGTTGTCATTTATTGGCTGCATTTCATTTCCGGAATATTTGGTAATTAGCAACTTTTCATTTCCGACATTTTTTTAGTTTTCATTTCCGACATTTTTTTTGTTTTCATTTCCGACATTTTTCAAATACATATATAGTACCTATAGTAACAGATATGATAACTTAACTTATGAAAAATTTTAAGGAATAAATCAGTGAAATCCAGTTTTGTAAATCTATCAAAGACTTGGACATAAGTATGCTGCTGTCACTGACATTTCATTTGGTGCACATTATATGTGTTGAAAAAGTTTTAAGCACATTGAACTTCTTTACCTAGACTTAGTTCTACATATATGCATAAATGTAAAGCTGTTTATTATTATTATTATTATTATTATTATTATTATTATTTTGTATCAATATTTTGGTATAAATACTTTAAGAAAACATTGAATTGCCGCACAGGTAAATTCCGGAAATGAAAGAAATATTATGTCGGAAATGAAAACAAAAAATGTCGGAAATGAAATAAAAAATTGTCGGAAATGCTATGCATATTTCCGGAAATGAAATGCAGCGCATATATTGTTCAATGTTTTGCTTGACCCACGTGGGTGTATTATGCAATAAAGAAAATTAAATTGTAATTTTTAAAAGATAACTCTATATGAGAAAAAATGCGCGTGACGTTACGCACGGTATTGGTGACGCTTTCTATTGATTTTCCTTCTATAGAGAATATTGACATGCATTACTCTATAATAGTGTAAATAAATAGTATCTATTGGGTATTCTGCTTTAAGATAAATTAGAAAATCTTTAAAACTCGGAAATATGTCATTATTTTTTATTTTATATACATTAAGTTACCAAAACCTTTGACATTTATACATAAATACCCATGTAGACTGGTAACATTTGAGGCATACCCCCAAAATCTATATACATATATGAGCGATTTATAAAATTGTAATATTGATAGTTTTTACATCAGTCGGCGGGAAAAAGAATCGTCTTTATGACATCATAGGTAATTTGACGTAAAATTCGTTAGATTTGAGATAATTTGCCCGTAAACGCAAGAAGATACATGGTAGACTGCGGAAAAAAACAGGGGATAAATTCAAAGTCGATTCAGGTAAGGGTGTTTAAGGAGATGTGTTATATATTTTTAAAATATTGGAAATTTGATTTACACAAATATATATCCAAAAAGAATGCTTACAAGAGTTCATGGAATTTTTTTTTTTGTTGATTTTTAAATTCTGTATAAACATTTTAGCATTTATTTGAAAATCATACCATATAAAGCCCTTATGTCACGCCATGTTTTTTTTTTTACATTTTGATTACATATTACCCATATTGTTTGATTTTTTTTAGTCCGTCGTTAACTTTTATTTTAAAATATACAATTTAATTCTGAAAGTATCAAGTATCTGCTAACACATTATTTTACGAATTTCAATGCATAAAAATAGTTAATGAGGATTTCTGCATGTTTTTACTTGTCAGTCACAGGAAATATTTGACGGCATCATGGCGTCTGATAATATGAACAAGCCCTATTTAGTCCAAGTATACAAGACTTATTTATATTTGGATTCTTATTGTTGTACTTATGGTCTATAATATCCTGCTTTGCATTTTGTTTATTGGTTCAAAAACGTGTTTTGCCTCAAAATATGATACGAAACTCTAACTGAAACTCTGTCTACTCAAATGTCCTCGACAGTGTTTCTAACGTTTTCTCTAAAATTTAAAATGATATATAGTATTGAACGCCTACTCTTTGAGAGCAATTATCTCAAACACTTGAGAAGTTTTCAAAAAAATCTTTTTTGTCTGAGAAAATATAACTGTATTAGACTTTCCTGTTTCTTTGCTTTGCGATTACATTGATATTCAATGAATTAATGAAGAATTTTAATTGGTCTACTAATTTGTCTCATCTACGGGATTTTGACGTGATCTGCACTTATGACGTCTCGCTACGAAAAAATGCAGATGTTAACGGTTTGGATTCATCTTAATTAAGACACGTCAACATATTAATTGTTAAACCCAGAAATTTGTATTTAAAAAATGGGGGGGGTGCACGAAATAAAAGGAAGTAGAGGGAATTAATTCACATTCCGACTGCGTAGACAGTTTTTACAGTCCCCATCCCATTTACATTCCCTTTTCCTTTTTTTCTTTTTTGAGTTTTTAGACTTACTATTTTATCAGCGCATACTCATTTTTATGAAAGTATATTTCTTCCTTTCTCAAGTGTAGGTTCTTTTTTTGGTTAAATATTGGTGGTGGTTTTTTCCAAGGGGGGGGGGGGGTCCAGAGCACTTCCTCTGGATTCGTCCTTAGAATGACGCAAACGTTATAGCATGATGATAAACAGATAACGATATGGAACAAACCTTTAAAATTTTAAAACTGAGAAAAATACATGGTTTGCATAATTTTTAGATTGCCAATTGCCGTCATATCGAATTCAACTACCGAAAACTAAATTTTTGCTATCTAAATAAAATACGATTTTGTACATATTAGATCAAAAGTGTATGTTTCTGCTGAATAGTAGCAAATGAAAAGGGTCATTGTATACAGTTGTCATAGACAATGTGAAGGGAGCGAATCAAAAATTTTCATGTATTGCATTCAAAAGAGGTAATCAATTCAAAAATTCAATATAGAACGCAGCCCAATTTTTCCTGTCGACAAAACTAAGGCCTATACTAATTCATCTCCTGTGTTTTAAGACAAAGAGGAAAGGATCCTATCAATGTTGAATTGCTAGCCGCAACGCTTCCGTCCTTTTTGATTCACTACCATATATACAGAGATACACAATTGGTTTTTAAAAGTTTAGGGAGGGGGATAAAAAAGGTGACAAATCAAACAATATTAGGATAGAATAATTCGGCGAGAACAAAACATCTTGTGGAAATAAAGTACATTATTATCACTCAAAAACACTAGTATAGGGAGGATAATCTCTCTTTCTCTCTCTCTCGTATTGTCTTTTGCTTTAAAATATTTCGAAGTGAATTCTACTTAGACCCTCTTACAATCCACACCAGATGTGCCTACGACTGTCTGGATTCGATAGGACGGATTATTATACATGTACATTGAAATTAAAAATGACACGCTTTCTTGATTTTTAAAGAATAAATAAATAGTAAAAATAACCTTTCTTTCTAAATTTGTAAATTGCATATTCCTGAACTGAAAGAGAAACCCTAGACAAAATTGATCGAAAAGTACCCCCCTTCCCCCCTTTCAGGAGATAATCTTAAATGATTTTGTTTTACATGTACCTAGAAAGAGGACACCCCCACCCCATCCCGGGCATTATATTGTCTATGAAACATTCATTAATAAATTCAAACTTCATTCCTTATTAGATGGCATTTGTATAAATATATTGTTTGATATCTATTTTTATCGTTCCTTATAATTTTTTTTTACCTATAAATGTAAAATTTCTATCAGGTAATTTTTACAGGTATGTCACATTTAACGATCAAAGAAAAGAGAGAAGAAATACGCAGAGAACAAAAGAGAAAATGGAAACAAAAACAAAAATTATTGAGACCAGCAAAAGAGTTGTCTCAATCTACAGCGGCTGTAAAGAAGAGGCAGCAACGAGAGAGGCTTGCTCGGAAAAAAGAGGAAGAAAGTGAAAAAAAAAAAACAACAAGCTGCAGAAAGAAAGCGGAAAAGTAGGACAGCCCTTAAGAGTAAACAGATTCAAGAAAAATCAAAGAAGGAAGAAAGACGCAAGAAAAACACAAAGAAACAAAGACGATGGTGAGAAAAGAAAAAAATACTCACACAACACAATCTCCCGCTCACACAAGAGGAACAACAAATATTTCAAAATAAAATGAGTAAATCCCGAGCAATAAGAAGGTTAAAGGAAGCACTTCCCAGGACACCTGTAAAACGAATTGCAACAGTAAAGGCGTACTTGTCCTCAAAGAAATCACCCACGGTCAAGGAACTACAGCGTAGAAAGGTTGTACCATCACCGGAAGAACGCAGAGAATTGGAAATGAATGAATCTGTTATACAGGATGTGAAATCGTTCTTGAATTCGGTAAAATTTAAGCGAAGCGATAAGTCGCGGGAAGCCGTGGACATTTTAGCTGCATCTGTATCAGGACCATTAGTTCAAAAATCAAGGGCCAAAGTTGACCTTGCGAGAAAACTCGGAATGCCTGTTAGAAGGATCTCAAAGGGTGTTCGAATCCGACAACGAATTCTGCATTCAGAAGAATCATCCTTTGAGTTTACAAAAAGGAAAACAAGGTCAGATAAACTAACTGAAGAAGTACAAAAAAACAGTGTATGATTTTTGGTGTCTACCCGAAAATTCGCGACACACTGGAAAAAAAAACTGATGTCAAGCGTGTCCGAATAGCTCCAAAAACTTACTGTAGCCATGCTATTCAAATTCTAGGAAATGCAAGGAAAAAGGATAGAACAACATGCTGCTGCAGGTATCATCTAGAGAGCAAGTTTTTGTTCAATGCTTTCAAAGCACGTAGAAATCAATTGGCAAACGATGGGTTGCTGGACGAAAACACATGTAAGGTTTACAGAACAATTTCAGAATTATGTGAAGACACGATGTGTCATACGGAGGGTGAAGATTTACATTTGAAGGACTGTTTAGAAAGAAGCTGTGAAAAATGCGGTGTTCATTTGCTGAAATTTTGTGACGCTGAATTAGATATGTCTGACGACTCGCCAGATGTTAATTGGAAAAAAATTAGGTATATTGACATTAAAACAAAAAATGGTACCAAGAAGAAATTGACATTGGTGGACAAAGTTACAAAGTCCGGTGAGATGATCAAGTATTTTAAGAAGGTTTTGGATTTTTGTCCAGGTCATCATGTCAGGGCCAAATGGCAAACTGATCAACTGAAAAATCTTGCCGAAAACTTGCCGGAAAACGAATGTTTAACTGTTCATGATTTTTCGGAAAATTACAGATGTACTGAGAGGGTTGAAATACAGTCAAACTATTTTCAACGAACTGAGGTTTCCATTCACATTTCCCTGATTTATAGACATGCTATTTTAGAAGTTGACGGTGTATCAAGCACCCCCGATGACCCGTGCATTATTTGTGAACATTTTTTTCTTATTTCTCCTGACGAAAAGCACGACCATCATTTTGTAAAGTGTGTTCAGAGGTTCATATCTGAATATTTGCAGTCCATCAACTACCCTCGGTCTACAATGCACGAGTTCTGCGACGGGTGTCAAAGCCAATATAAAAGCAGGAACTGTTTGGGAAATCTAGTTCATTCCGTTGACGAGCTTGGATACCAGAAAATAATACGAAATTATTTTGAAAAAATAAAATGGATTTTTACTGTTTGATTTTATATATAGACATGTTGATACTTCTTTTCCAACAAGAATTCATCGAGAAAGAAATAGTATAGAAACAGTAATCACTGATCTTTACTTACATACAAATAATGTAATTAGTTTTTTTTTTCAATAATGCTTTCATTTTTTTTTCAAATTGTGTCATTTACTGAAGATTTCCATTTACTCCAACATGCAGAAAAGGTGTGGGTACTTTAACTATATAAACCCATGGAGGTAAAACTATTTAGTATGCATTTATACCTTCATGCTTATTTTTACAAAGTCGCTCACTGATATGAGTAATTTTACGTTCCGTTTACGTGACGTTAAAATGACGTTACCAAATGTGACACCAACACCGTGCGTATCGTCGCGTGTTATTTTTATTACACGTATTTTCTTCGGGTTTTTGGAAGGGGGTAGATAGGGGTGGGTGGGTGGGTTGTCCAGAACAATTTCACAATCTATTTTTAAAATGAAATTAATTAGTTTCTGACCTTTTAAGAAAAGTATATAGATTTTTTCTCCATCAGTCCTGTTGTTTGCTTGATTATGAAAGTACATCATTACATTAAGGACTTCAATTTATAATATCACAGTTTTTAAGTTTTGTCACATTTTATAATATGACCCCTATTTAATATGCTGTAAATCACTTTTTATTCGCAAGAACTTTATTTTCGTGTAATTACTAAGACAATGAGCCCGCCGAAATTTCATATCCTTACGTATAAAAGTATTCCTTACGGTTATATAGAGGAATACATGTAACAACAATTCGTGAAAATTATGTCTCCCCAATAAAGAGTCAATGACTATCTCGCGAAAGTAAGGTGTCGCGAAAATTTAGTCATCTATAGTATATGAATGCAGTATTATGAAACCGTGGGTATATACATGTAAGTAATCTATTCCTGTGTGTTAGGGCCTTATTTAGAATTATTTTGCGGACCTGGATTAAGATACATGTGTCACACACGTGGTATTGTTTGTATTGTAGATTACAATATTTACTCACTTTAGGAGTCATATCCCGTCCTTTGCCTGAATGGCCCCATCGGTACAGAAAACATGTCAACAACATGTAGATCTCAGATGTTACCATGAATAATACAAACATGTTTTCATGAATCTCTGAAATGTAAAGTTATGTAAAAAAATTTATATTATTATTTTATTAATCTTGTAATTGGTAAATAAAAACAGACGTATATACAGTGCAGGGAAATAATTTTGTTACAGCATCAATGCTGATTTTTGTGCTTCCTATGCTTGCTGATTTTGATGTTTCCTTTGCTTGCTGATTTTGATGTTAGTTATCCTTATCCTGATCCTGGTTTGATCCTTATCCTGATGCTGGTTTGAAACTAGGTTACTGCTAGTAATGTTACCGGAAGTAGGATTATCCTGCCGGAAGTTGATAATTCAAAAACAGCATCGCCATTAAAATTAATTTTTGGGGTAATTTTTATTTGTAATTTGTATTAAATTACTTTCCTTTATCTGTTTTCACTTTGGTCAATGCTAGTTCTATCCTTTGCTTGCTGATGCTGATCCAAGTAATGCTGTTTTTTTAAATGCTGATGCTGATGCTAGTTCTATCCTGATCCTACTTATGCTGATCCTGATGCTGGTTTATGTAACAAAATCAGTTCCCTGCACTGTACATGTAAATAGCACACGATTTGTTTTAAAAAAAAAAAAAAAAAAAAAAAAAAAAAAACAAGACCTAGCCTCTATTTATGAACATCAATAAACCATGTTTTTTTTTTATAATACGAAATTAAGCAATAAATTATTTATTTTTTTCTATAATAATTATATTCAGACAGACATAAAATAAACATAAAACGCAAAATAAACCGAAATGTAATATATTGACACATATTTAATGTCAAACACCCTTAAATAGTCAATTATTTAAATTCAATTGGGTCTCACAAAACCAGGACGTATATTGAGACAGATAGAAACACAAAATAATTTAAATCCCAAGTCGATTATGAGAATCATTAAATTACCATTACACTAGGCAGAGATGATTCAGTTGTAGAATTTGATAGTTCCATTTACTCTTTAAAAGCTGGCAACGATGAACACTTTTTTTTCCAATTATCATTACGGTCTTATTACACTTCTCCATTAGAAGAATACAGTTTCAGTTAATAATAAATAAAGATTTGGGAAAAAATTATCGCATACTGCATCTGATCTTCAAAAATTTGAAGACTGAATAACTACACAATTAAAACAACGAAGAATTTTTGTCGACAAAAGCTCGATCGAGGTATTAAACCCTTCATCTAGAAGCAATTTATAGAATAAAACAAACCTTTATCGTCGAGGGAGGATATATACGTTAGAATGACAAGAGCAAAATTCTCCACAGTATGTAATAAAGTACATAGTCCAGCTAAAATGGTATAAATATTGCTCCAGGATTCTACTACAAATCGCATATGGTAGCGGTAATATGCACAAGCAATGAGGAATCGTGGAAAAGCGTGAAGGGCAATACAGATTCTCCATACATTTCTCTGAGGAATGTATCCACCAATGGCTGCACTTATGGACGGTAGGTAGTTGGCTACCTGAAAATAAATTAATGCAAATAAAGAGCAGATAGTTCACTTACTTGGTTATATTTTCGACTTATACTGTTTGGACTTTAAAAAGAAATTTAAACATCAAATCAGGCATTTGAAACAGAAATGAGACAGAATTGTTCTTTTTCTTAATATTTTGAACAAATCAAATTGGTTTATGTTCTTGAACCAAGCCTTCATCGTGGAAAGAAAAGCTTAACAATTCTTCCATCAAATGAACTGTACATGTGTACATTTATTTAAACGGCAATAAGTGTTCAGTCTCTTCTGTGAACTTGGATCTGTTCAAATGACATAATCATCTCTTATCCTTAATTGACTCTACAGTATGTGACACAAGGTTAAGTCTAAGAGACACCTTCTGGTTATATGTACGTTACATTTTTCGTCTGATTATGACAAGGAGCACATAATGGGTTTGACTGGACGGGAGAGGATGCTAACTCCTCCATGGCACCTAATCCCACCCGTGTTTTTAGAGATCCATGTTTGCTCTGCTCCCTTTGTATTGTTTTATTGAGCTTTTTGGATTTGATCACTCCTCGTTATATATCTCTCTATATTATATATTTTACTACCTGCATACTTATGAGTGGGTTTACAGTTCAGACAGACCAAAAATTAAGCTCCAAACCATGTAAATTAACTTACCCGGCAATGTGTTGCGGTAGATTCCTTGAAATTGAATAACACCGACCAGATAACACAAAATAAGGTTGCGAAAAATGGAAGTCCGGCAACAATGTTGCTCAAAGTTGAAAAGTGCAACCGAAAGAGTATACTTTGATAAGCCATAATGCAAAGCGGTCTACTCAAATGTTCTGCATGCTGAATGTTTCACATTTAAATTTAAAGATACGTTCTAAGTATAAACCAAAACACAAATTAAGTCCAAATGTAAATTAAAGTACTGCTGAAATCCTCACATTTAAAAATCCTTTATCTTTAGCCACGTGAGTTGGACAACAGACCGGATATATCACTATAGATTGATATAGTTATATAACAGGAATATACATGTAAATAAAAATTGGTGGTTAAATCACATTTTAGATATATACATATATGCGGGTGATCAATTTTCACAGCCTCGTAAACTGGAATACAGTAAAGGGAAAAATATGTGTATATTTCTTTATGCGAGGGACCTTGCCTATCTTCCTTATACATATGTAATATTGCCAAGATATTTAAAATGAGCGAATTATCATAAATGAATACATTATGATGTATTTTGTTGTTTTGTTTGAAGTTTCATTTTATGAGATTTAAAATAAAAACCATGATACTGTATATGCACTTTTTTGTTTTTAATGACCACGGAACGCCTTTAATTCAAAAACATAACTTCAATAGTTTCTGAAAATCAATACCCTCCCTATGTATATTTCTCAGTCTTGCCGAAACCCACAGATTAAAAACGTTTCTATATAACTCGAAAGAAGATGGGGGGGGGGGGGGAACAAGGCGGGCAGAATGCCTATAGCGTCAGATATTAAGAAATGTTAATCAATATGTCAATTCAGTATCAAATTAACAAGTCATTATTGAAATTTATGAAATCATGAGGAAAAAACCTGAGAGAAAAAAATGTCGTATTTTTTCCTTTATAAAAATATTAGACGGTATTCGTGGGATTCGAACCCTAGCAATAAAAAATAAGACAAACGCGCTAACCACGATGCTACTTTGCTCATGATGAATTTGGACATTTAAATCATGTTTGTAATATGACCTTTGGCTTAATGGACGAAGTATTTCCACTGGCACCTGAAGTATGGAAAATACCCCCCCCCCTTTTTTTTGTAAATGAAAAAAAATGTAAGAGTGTATAATATCTCAAAAATATAAAATTTCCCCGTCAAACACATCTTATGTCGTTATATGCAAGCAGATTGTACTTTTTCTCACGTTTAAAGAATGACCCTATTCAGTATTTTTATTATACCGAATAGGGTCATTCTCTAAATGTGAGAAAACGTACAATCTGCTTGCATATAACGACATATAGATGTGTTTGACGTGGAAATTTTATATTTTTGAGATATTACACACTCTTACATTTTTTTTCATTAACAAAAAAAAAAGGGGGGGGGGTATTATCCATATTTCAGGTGCCTGTGGTATTTCTCGGAAAGATGTGAATGTTTTATCATAAATTTGACTTTTAAGGTATAGTGAGTCTTCGCTCCATGTTTTTGAAAACCAAAAAATGTATATTTTATTGCAAACTTTTAGGATTATCTTTCAAAAAAAAAAAAAAATGGAGCGAAGACCCACTCATATTGAATTTTTTTTTTCAAAGTATGAGAAAATGATCATTTTTGTTCTTTTCAGTGTTTGTATACTTTTTCATAGGCAAATAATTTCATTCTTTGCGAGATTTTTGTAAATTGTAGAGATTTTACGTTAAGTATATATACTTTAATGTTAGATGAAATATCAAATAAAATTTGGATATAATTGAAATTTAATTTTTCACTTCATATCTGTCGCACTATATAGGCACTTCGTCCGCCTTATCTTCCCATCTTCTTTATTTTGCTACATGTAGTAATATATTATTAATTATTTCCCCAGTTACATAATTTCTTTTGTCATTTTTAATATTTTTTACCGTGTTAAGTGCTTTCACAAATTCAGCAACTATCCAGTATCTCTTTCCATGACCTTGACACATATAACACATATAATCCCTTTCCCCAAAGATTGCCCGCGTATGATACGGCAACTTTATCATTCAAATGCAAGTACACTGTACATAGTTTCGCCTGTGTCATGTACAAACGAATATGCGCAGCTCATTTTGACATTTTTCCTGCTTCGCCAAGCATTTTCAGTTTTTTACTAGAGTTTCTCCATGTACAAAACGGAATAATCTCCTGACGTTCATCTCTCTCTCCTTTTTAATGACGACTACATATCTTTTGGCATTGCTCTCTTTTCCACGAAGCATTATTATATTACTTGTAATTCATAATTTGAAACGATATAACGATTTTTATTTGAATGTGTAAATTTTTCTTTTCCTTTTTTGTGCCATTTCACAGAAAATTGTCCCATTTGACTACACAGGAATGCAGACATCCTGGCAATACCAGAGGTCCTACATTAACATGTTGCTTAGTTGTAAGTCATCAACATCAACTACTATTTGTACAATTTTTAGTACATTCTACAACTGGAAAGAGGATACAGCCATGAATAATCGTAGAAAATCTTACTACTTTGTATTTAAGGGGGAGGGGGCATAAAAAATCAAACACTGTGTGAGTCCCACATTTATTTATGAAGTTTTGAAGACTGACAGTTGTCAAGCAGTTTATAGTGTGTACTTTATACCAACAATAGAGCCTTTCTAGAAAAACACTAACAGCATAACAGAGAGAAATCATGCTATCTATCAAAACATATATCATGAGAGAGGGCATTGATTCTCAACATGTTACATTCCTAGAATCAAATGCTTATCATATACAGATCTATAAACCAGATATACTAAGTAGTATAACCTTAATACAAAGATTATCATTACTTCAATAACAGTGAAGCACAGTGCTGTGTAAAAATGATAATAATACTCGGAAGTCCTTTATGTAGAAAAGCTTTTTTCCCTGCAATTCTTGAATATGGACATCAAAGAAATACAGCTGATGTCAACAGAGGTTTCTTCTGAGAATTCCAGCCAATCTGGTGAGCAGTTCAATCACAACCATACAGTCTAATTCACACAGGATGTACTGATAATACCCTGTAAACATAAATTGTACATGTACCTTATCAGAACAATTTTCAAAGATGAATTTATGTATATCTTATCAAATGAAATTACATCAAGAACTGACTACTAATTAATGATCAAATGTGTTTAAAAATCAGCACATCAATCCCTGGAAATATATCAAATTATAAACTTATTTAAATAAAACTCGGTCTCTTTTTTTCATTTTAAGAGTATTGCAGTTATGCCCCTTTGTAATGATTTCTTTTCCAGCCTTTAGGGGCATTTTCAGTTATATTGTATACAATATGATTTTATTTTAAGTCTAAAGAGATATTTGCAATTACATAAAAAGAACACAATTAGTGATTTTTCGGTTTATTTTACCAGTAACTACAGCTTACTCTATTAAGCAACAAATGTCACCAGTTTGATCTGGGTAAATACAACAATTAGATACATGTATTTTAGTTGATAATCTTTGCTACATGTCTATACCCAACAGATACAATAAAACTAATTATGAAACATGTAGCTGAACCATTATTCCCAATATTTCCTAGGAAATACATTCAAGTTATTCCCAGGAATAATCAGTATTTGAATATTTCCCAACCCTGCCAACCCTGTTTTGGAATTTTTCCCCCTTCTTTTACCAGCAATGCAGTAATGTCCCTATATCTTTAATCTCTAATGCAGTTTTACCCCTTTAATGAAAAATGTCACACTCTCCTGTAGTAATTACCGAAATAGCCTGTGGGTGGGAGATGGGGCTTACATTTCTTTGTAGATATCCCCACTCTCCTCTCCTGACAGTAGAATCAGCTGATCTGAGAAGTCGTATTTGGCGGTGTAATGGAAGGCAATACTGGAAAATACTACAAGATATTCACACAGGGCAAATATGGAATACACTGAAATAGAAGAAAAACATACAGAACATAACTTTAGGCTATGTACAGCTATATTTTGGTTTTAATTTCCAAACTCATCATATGATAAAACCCTGCATTGATATGTTTACAGAGTATAAGAGAGTCTATATTAGTTTTCAAAATTTAAAATGAAAAAATTTTACCTCCAGTTTCACAATACCACTCATGCCTAAAAAACATGTATACTGCTGCCAAGAACATGGTAATGTTGAAGAAAAAGAGGAACTTTTTATACTGGTAGGACATGACCTCCTAAAAAAGAAGATTCAATGTAGCCTATTTTAAAAGTCACAAAGATAATCATTAGAATTTTTTCACAATCGGAGATCATCTGTGGTCCTATAAAGGAGAAGCAAACTCTAACAAATCCAAAAGATAAATTCTTTAGTATCAGTGAGTTTTTCTGTTTAGATATTTTTCATATTAGCCAATTATGTTATGAAACTATAGGTATATAGAAAATAAAAATAGAATATGAAACGTGTAATTCAAAAACATTTTCAAAAACATACATATATTTGTACCGGGTAATATGAATTATTGTTTTATGAAAAATAATACTAATATATGTACTTAGTACTTACATAAGTTCATAGCTAAAGCACTATGAATATACATACCATTTTTGTCATGGCACGTCCATTGGTAGTGTGACTCCATTTGTAAAGAATACAGGTAAGCAACATATAGCACTCAGAACAAACCATGAAGGTGATAAACATGTTCTCATGCACAGCTGAAACATAACAATGGTAGAACTTTTATTCATTTGGAATTCAATATTTGAGCATCATTTTCCCCCATGGATTTGTTAATTTCCTTTAAACATATAAAAATTACATCTTTATCTCTATAGTATAATATCAGTTGGTTAATTTGAGCAAATTTGATATTTAAGTATAATTATGCATGGGCTGTACCAAAAAAATTGTACAAATTAAAATACAAAGTACCGGTAATAAAAGGTTGATTTTAATATCGATTCAACTTTATTTACTAATGGTCCCCCCACCCCCAAAAATCAAAATGTGTCCATTTAGCTATTAGTTTTGTTCTTTTTGTACTAATTTTCCAGATGTAAATGGACAGAGGGAAGTATTGGAGGAAAAGACAACATTATTATTAATAGTATATTTCCTTTTTCAATGAGCTTGATGGGCAGGAAAGAAATACATGTACATCAGATGTTTATTACCAACCATAATTATCAGTAGATGATACATAGGTAAGAGTGACTAAAGCTGCATTTTCAATTATATGTAGGAAAACACAGAGCTTTGCAAGGTTCTTGTATAAAGTATTCCTCACTCCAACATGAAAATGTGTGTAATAGCCATAATATGTGAAAGCAAATAAAAATCTTGGTGCTGCATGAAGAGCTATACATATCCTCCATATATATTTCTGTGGGGCATATCCTCCAATGGCTGAACTAATGGATGGTAAGTAATTTGATACCTGAAAAATGAACTGATCAGTCAGTTACATGTATACAAGGGTACATACATGTACATGTAAGTCTGTAGACAATGAGTGTACTTAAGTCACAGTACACTTATTTGTACAGTATCATTATATTTTTATTTGAGATTTGGGAAAAAAAAATTAAGATTTTAATTGGTGATAAAGTTTATGGCAAAATATTCTCCTGAGATAATCAAAACAAGGAACATGTTCATTTTTTTTCTGTGCTGAATTAAATAGGCATTTCAAAATCTTTTCTATCAAATACAAATTGTCAAGATTATTCGAGGTATTCTTCATTGACGCCTTAATCAATTTCATGAAATAAATATATATAAATATTTTAAAATATATGGAGGAAATTCGAATGTCATAATAAAGTACATAACCATTAACATTCAGATTATTCAACTTTTTTTAAATACTCACGCGACAGTGTGTCCAAGTAGATTCTTTGAAATTATATAAAATCGATAAAACTATACAAACAAAAGCCCCTAATAAAGGCAGAAGAGCTGCAACAGTAACCAACAACGAAAAATTAATATTGAAAAGTGATTGCTGTCGAGGCATGGTTGACGGAAGTAAATAAACAAAACATAGTCTCACAAGTGTTTTGATTTTTCATTGATACTCGTACTAGATTCCAAGCTTCTTCCTAACATCGACAATTACTTTTAACGGCCTTGACACTTCAACGTGTAAACATTTTCTCAAAAGGAAACAGAAAAGATTTTTTCAGACAGGGAAAAAACAATGCCTGACCCATTCCTCGATAATCACGGTGTACTCATGATATGCAGCACTGCATTGAATTGATGGATAAGTGGGTTTTGAGTCTTTAGTTTAACTGACAAATACAAAAATGTCTAAACTTACTCAACAAGACAGAAAGGACTTGGAGAAATTCACCAAGTTTTTGATTTATAAGAGTTTGCAGATCATCGTGCAGTCCAGACTTGGAGAAAAAATCCAGACAAAGTCCAAACCATTTTCCTCTGGTGCAGATTGGGTATTTAATTAATTTTCCTTCATTTTTATTAATGTACAGATGTAAATTTATAAGTTATTAGAATCATGTTGAATTGCTTAGATTTAAAAGCAAGATTTTTTTCTTGCCTTGGAGTATGTCCGTTTAAAAACCATTAATACCTTAATCATGTTAAAATTATGTTGATGGCGTGATCATTGGACAAGCGCAGAGCTTGTATATGGAACCATATGAGATATTTTGGAAATGTTCAGATGTCATGATCATGATGATATATTGTACTGTCATGTATATTAGAGGCAATTTCAGAACAAAGTCTGGAAAACTGAAATTTAATTTATACAAAAATATTTGAAGTACCAATTTATCTTCAACATTCATTAAATATTGTTTATTTGTTTTTTGAAAAACTTAAGTTGTAACTTTTGGGAATGTAATTTACAGCATTACTTTGACAATGTAGTTTTTGGAAAGACGCATTTTGCAAAGGATTATGGGCCGAGAAGTTACTGCAGAAAAAATTCCTTTTGAATTACAAATCTTTTTATTTTGCCAGGCATTGCTTTAATAAACATGATAAAGAGCTGGAAATGCTAGCACTGTATTTATTTTTTGATGTGAAGCAAAGAATTTAAATGATTATAATTATATTAAATGTATTTTTTTTTATATTACAGTTCAACCTTGCAATAAAAGATGTTCAAGAAGTGCATACAGAAACAAAGAAGGCTCTTGCAGGACAAACGGCTCTTTTAAGTCAAAATGTCTGTGTGGAAATTTCTCTCAAAACCTCAGAAGGAGATTCAATGATTTTAGAAACATGGTACATAGGCTTGAACAAAGAGACATGTGATCTCAATGCTCGCATTTCCTACACTGTGTACAACCGCATGGGTAGTGCATTAAAGACCTTGCTCAGTATTTCTCGCGTTACTCCAGCATACAAACTTTCTCGTCAGCAGGGTGTGTGCTCGGATGACTATGTGATATGTTACCGCTTTTACCAAGGGGAGCCTCAGTTTTTCATGCTGGGGGACAATTACCAGACGATTAAAGTGGGCACAGTGCCCACCCCTGTCGGGACCATTTATATGAACCTGGCCTACAGAACCAAACTCCTTATAACTCCACAGAAATCGTCCAGGGAGATCCTGATTGATGTGAAAGACGATCATTTTAAGAAAGACAATAGTCCCAGGAGGCCAACTACACCAAAACCATGTTCTCTAGGATATAGAAGGTATACAGTTAATTGATGAAAGGAATCGGAAGGCTTTAACCCCTTCAATAACATATAAAGTAAAACTTATTTTGTACGAACAAGGACATGAAGGATATTGCGAAATCACAGATCTAGCAAAGTTATCTTGGATCCTAGCTATGTAAATTTTAAATTATTAAAACTGCAAATATCACACTAATTTTTGCATCATTTAAGATGCAGGAAATCTTTGTGATAAAACAATATACAAATCAATTCTGGGAAAAATTTCTTCAGCACCTGAACAATATGTCATTTGATGTACCAAATATATGGTTGTTTGAATTTAAATTTGTGCACTAAATTACTAGAATACTAATGAGATTCCCTCTTATCAATATCCATGGCAATGGTATGCATGTAGGGAACAGCATTTTACTACTGCTTTAAAAATTGAATCTTAAAATTAATTAAATAAATCAATCAGATATTATTTAAACTTACTGTATTTAATGTGGAGAAGAAAAAAAAACAATGCTTTACTTCAGTGTTGTGTCTATTTACATGTTTCAATTTTTTTTGTTTTGTTTATTTTCAAATCAAGAAGCCTTCTCCCTTCCCATGCATCACAAGCAAATCCCATACTACATGCAGTATTCAGCCTTACCAATATTATCATGATTATAGCGAAACAAATTAAAATGTTAATGTACTATTACCTTCTTTAATATCAAGTACTTTTCCACTCAATGAGTTTCACAGGAAGTGAAAATTTGACTTATATAGACCTATGTTACTTATCATAAACAACATGTTTTATTCACATGATTTGTGTTGGAATGTATGTACCGGGAAAATAACTACTCCAGCATGTCTAGGGTCACCCTTCAAATTATTCCACACATTTATTTACCATGTTTACAATTTTTTTTTATGTTCAAATTTTTACCAAAGTACCCGAGATGACCGTTGTCTTGCTATCATATGTTTATTGCTGATTTTTTTGGGGGGTGGGGGGTGAGGGGGTAAGTAATTGGGGGGGGGGGGGCTTGGAAGGATAATAATAATTAAGATAAATATGGCTATTATACTTTGATGCTTATTTAGTAAAGCAACAGGTAAATTACTTTTAGAATTAACAGGAAACCAGAAACAGTATAAAAGTGGAAATTCAAAAGTGCCCTTACGTCATGTACATTGTAAACAGTCATATGTTCTATGTACTTTCCATTTGTAAGATTTTTAAATACATTTCCTGTTAGTGCAGGGTAATACATTCATTTCGTAAGTTACTATTTGTGAAACTAATTAATATAACAAACTTGCTATCAATATTATTTTAATTATTTTGATACAATGTTAGTTAAGGAAGGATTCATCTTTAAAATCATGTACACATTTGGACGTCATGAATTAAAGACATAAATGTACGTAAGAATCATTAATGTGTATTTTGATTCATTTGATAAATATTATTTTACCATTTTAATAATAAAAATGTAAATAAAATGTTTCTTTAGAAAATTGATAACATTATTGCTTATAATTACTTCATATTCACAAAATGACGTTTATGAATAATGGTGAAACATTATGAATAACACTTTATAAAGTGCACTTTCAAAATTTTACACCAATTTATTCTGTTTGTGATATGATTTTGCAATATACATATTCCTGTGATATTTTGTTCAGAATTTCTAGTATCAAATGTTGCCTGGAATGGCAAATGGCATGTTAAGTGGTTATAACTTATATTAATATTTCCTATAGAAGTATAAAGGTCATAAGAATCTTGTTTTATTTATAGGAACAGTACGTCGGAGGATCTGTTTGGGTATGGGGGGGAGGACGGACAGGACCTGTGCTCCACCACGTTTGATAACAGCCCGGGGGAGGCGTTCTTCCACGGTATGTTACAGAACCGGGACCCCCACCAGCTGTCCAGTACCCCCCAACAGAGGACGACCGGCGGGGCACTGACAGAGGACAGGGAGGGGACAGAACAGGGCAGGGACAAACAGGAAATGTGAGATTATTCTGAAGTGACTGAGTGTCGATTTATTCACATAACAGAAAATTAAAAAATAAAAGATTTCCACTTCTCAATAGCATTTTGTATTAGATCTGTTTATTTAACAAGCTAGATGTATATGAAGGAAAAGATAATTATATGTATTTTATCTTTTAAATAAATGATAATTTAAACATTGCGATATAAACAAGTTCAATGTATATATGCATATAATTTAAATAAATTTATATATTTAGCATAATTTGGAGAAATATAAATATTTGCTGTAAACAGCATTTTTTGAATCATTAAATTAAATGTGTGTTTGTTATGTTTTAGTGTTGAAAAGCAGCTAAGTTTTACGTCATACCAGAGGATAGGAGCTTTTGCTCAAAAAAGGAATTCCAAGGAGATCAAAACTGACTTTGAGGATGTGCCATTCCTAAGCTTACTTCAGCCAGAGAGTAAACCTTCAGACACAAAAACTGAAACATCCGGGGATCAGAATCACCTAGGGTCAAATGACTCTAAGGAGAAATCCAGTGGGGAAAAGGCAATAGAGCAGGCTTTATCCCCCTCAGAGAGTATATCCAGCAATACATCAGCACCAGATGACTTTGTCATGGTGGAGTTGGTATGTTTTATTTGCCAGGTTTTAAAATTAAAGCAAGATCATGAGGAACATAAACTTGGCTATAAACTTGATCATGTGTTCAAAGTAAAGATAGAGATCGCGATTTCATGTTATGTCTTGATCAAGCTTCATGAATTTTATGTCGTGTGTAAAAGTACATGTATCTATAAGGAGCATTTTTAAGCCTAATTTTACATTTCAAAATATTCAACAATAGTTATGAAATGTTATATCCCTGTGTTATATAGACCTTTCCTCCTGTATTTTACAGAAAACTCCCTTTGCGGGGGCTGATCCTAACACTGACCTGGGAACGTTTTACAGAGAGTGCCAGGGAGCCCCACCGCTAGCCATGTGTAGTGGTGAGAGCAATGTCACCGAGGCTCTGGAGGAAATCTCCTGTCAGCTACAGATGTTTGAGTCTAACATTGAGGGATTTGATGACTTTGTCACCTCAATAACAGAGAGTGTCACTGTAGAGTAACCTCCCCTCCCCTCCAGGTTCAAAGTGCAAGGGTTATTATGTCTTGCACAGGCATTGTTAGTGCTTTCCTCTGTGCTTATCAATTACAATGTATGTTGTCATTATTTTAACAACAACATTTAATTTTGTCACTACATGTAGTACATACTGCTTTCAGAGAATGAAGTGATTGAAGTAAATTTTTAAAGAGTCAGGGATCAAAAGTTATAAGGTAGAAAATCAATATGATTGTATAAGTAATAGGATGATTTTTGAAAGTTTAAAAGTCAATGTCAAATTCACTACCTGTAAAAGTCATTTTATGGATTGCGTGCAACAGAGGTAAGACTATATTTGTCCATTCATACCTGTATTTTTCTCTTATTTTTAAGGTTATGTGAACAGAGGATCAGACATATACATGTGTATATTTGAAACGCACAGATTGAGCCCCTTTTCATTTCATTTCATGAGTCTAATACAGCCTGTTTATGAGGGAAAATTGTGCTTTGTGGTGCTTCTTTTTATAATGTGATAAGTGAGAATAATATTAATATATTGTGTCTTTGTGAACATAAACCCCCTATTGAAAACTTTGGTTACTTTTATTGCATTAAATTTTGTGTATCTGTAAATACTGAGGGAGTATGTTTATTTTGACAGTGTTACATTTCTGGTCTTGAAACTCTTGTTATTACACTGTCATTTATAGTGTGTTGATCTACTTTTTGTGTGTAAATGAGGGACATGAGAAGTGTGATGTACATGAACATGTATATTGACTTAAAGTTCATAGTGTACAAAGCCTGCTGGATAGGCTAATCTGCCAATCAATACAACTGTGGGAGATGTATTCATGCTAGTCAGCATTTAGCTAAATTGAGGAGTACTAGTACTGCAGACAATATTTGGTATTCTCTTGAGTCATGACAATACAGAAAGTGATGTAGGAAATGTGTGCGATTTTTTTTAATGGAAATGTACGTGTATCTCTGCCAAAAGTTCTTTGTAATGCATGTATGAAATACATGTATTTTGACTTTTTTTAATAGGAGAAAAAAAAGAAAAAAAATTAAATTTAACTAAATTTAGGTACACATTAACCGTATTGAGTTAACTAATATTAACCTAAAATCAAATCATTGTAGTAGATTAACATTTGGATTGTGTTAAGGGATATAACCCTAATGTTTGAATAATCTTATCATTGGTGACACAGGTAATATTTTTTTAAGCAAATGAACTGTAATGCATTTATTTTTATCATTATCAGTGCATTACATGTGAGATATTTAATTGCTTTAATAGGTTTTGCAGTTTAAAACCATATACATATATTCAAAACTTTGTGTGCATATAAGAATTCCATACATGGGAGGGGAAAATGTGTCAATTTATTAGACATGAACATGTATGAATGTTTTGAATAGAAAGAGATTTTTATTTTACATCACATTCAGTAATATTTCATAAGTGAGTCATACATGTAGTTACTCTCCAGAACTTTCACTTATACGAGCTATAAAAGAAATTATAAATGATATATAAGCTTATTAAATACAACCCCACTTATAGGCGAGTAATGTGTTAAAACAGAAATCAAAATGTAATAATCCCAAAATGTGTTGTGAACCAAAGCCATAGTAAATTTATAGTGATTGCTCCCTCCAGTCCTTGTTTGTTACATGTAATACATATAAATGATATATACATGTATGTATGAATGTGTTAGAATGTGAGCAAGTCCAGTATTATCTGAGATATTTTTTCATCTATTCTTTTATTCTGACCTAATTTTGTAATTAAGGTTCAAATACAAATCAGAAACAGAAGTGAAGGCTCAATTTCATAAAGTTACAGTGTATAATATTTTGTCAATTGTTTTTGGCAATCTTAACGTCGGCCCATAAATTTTATCAGAATTTTGAGGGAGACTATATATAATGCATATTGATTAGTGCATTTGATGGAAATTTTCAATAATATTGGATATAATTGATCATATAATTCTTAATATAGAAATTAAAACTTGAAGGAAAAAAAATACCCAAAATCTTATAGAGGATTTAAGAACAATGGAGCAGTGTTATATTTCTTGGTGAATCTTAATAATTTATGTATACATGTACTGCAGTTATTATAATATAATTACATGTATATATGTTTATGGAGATGTCAAATCAATGATGAGATTCATTACTTTGTTGGTTCCTTTGTAAGGATCTTTATATAAAGTGTTATGACATCAAGGATATGTTACATGTCTGTTATTCTTGATTATAGTATTTTTTTCCCTGCTGATACAAATTTAAAGCACTTGTATACACAGGATATTAAACCTCAGCAAATATATGTAACAGGATAGGATGAACAAGGCTGGGATTTGAACTTGATCATAAACTTTTATATAAGCCTACTTAATAAGAATAAATGCCCATTAGCTGTATATGCTTGCATAAGTTCAAAGTCTTCTCATGACAAATTGAATGAATATAAATGTAAGCTTAACTATGACCAATATACTTATTTTAAAAATCTATATTTACATTTTCAAATGTTTGCCCTTATATAACAATATTTGAACAAGATGTTTTTACACCGGCGTAAAACACGTTCGTCGTGAATTTCATAGTGACGTCATTAGTGATTGACGTGTACAACACGTCCAAAGATTCAACCGTTCAAAATAACATGGTCTGGACAATATTTGGAAGAAGAAATGAATATAATTTCGGCGTATGTACGGATTTTTAGTCCCTACGTCACGTTTTGCTATTATGAAAATACGGAAAATACATAGCAGCTGTATTTCTTTAGGATCTATCTCAATTTCACGTTTTTTGATGACTTTAAAAAAAGAGAAAGATTTCAAAAGCAGAAGTGATATCAGGGTGCCAAAATGATGTGGTATAATATGACAACGACCAAGTTATACCATATTTTAGCTATCAGAAAAGCCGTTGTTCTTCATTAATGTATGTAAAATCAATGGAAAATGAAATCTTACTGGCATATGCCAAATCTCACGGACAAACCTACTCAAAAATACTGAGAAACAGCAATATGGGTAAACAGGTCTGGCTAGATGCAAAAAGCCCAAGGGCCTTGAACTCCTCTTCTAAAAATTGTACAACCTATCATGCACTTCTGTTTGAATACTTGCAATATTCAAAAAGTAGGTCACTGTGACCTATTTTAGAGTCATCATGCATGACATGAGGTTCTAAGACGCATCAAAAGACAAGATTCGATGATGAACCTAGTTCTTTATAAGTAGTGAGCAAAGTATTGATGATTTATTCAACTATGAAGTGACCTTGAAACTATCCTCTTTGCCCTAGAGTGATGTCTAAAACAATTAGCAGTCTCAGGTATAACCTCAATTTTCTGCTCAAGTTTGGTGAAAACCTGCCCAATTTGTCTTTAGAAAAAAGATTTTATAGAAATCACTGATTTTTTTCTTTTAATTCTCCTTATATTGTCCTCTGTTGACTAAAGGTCACATTCCCATTTTAGGTACAAAAGAGTGTCCCCTTTGGGCCAAGACTACTCTGTGAAAAAATTGACAAAAATTGGCAAAAAAATTCTTAAGATATGGCTCATATTCCAAAAAGTTAAAACATGCCATACAAATGGCCATGGCATTAGCTCTCTCAGCCTCATGCCCACATGAGCTAATAATATGAAAAGAGACAGTTCCTGTGCATAAGAATTTAATGAATCTTCACAGAACATTTGTACTAAACAATGAATTTTACATCCATCATATCATAAAGAATTGTAAATTTTTGCATAAATTTATTAAAGCAGAAACTAAAATTAATTGCTAAAGAACATGCACATTCATTTGACTCTAAAATTGAAACTGATAATTTTGAACAGAAATCTCTGATGAGACTTGCTTCACTGCTTTAAAATGGAAATAGTAGGGTAAATGTGCACTTTTGACAATAACAATACTTTAAAAATTCTGAACTTTATAAAAGATGTATATGTACTAACATTTTAAAACAGAAAAAGCATCATTGATAAATGTGTAATAGAATTTCAGGGGTCTGAAAGAAGAAATTTTATCTAACTGTATCAAAATAATCTACCAGGTAAAAGATTTTTGTATTTATAATGTATATTAATAATATTGCAAAATTTTAATTCTATTCTGCCATATTGATAACTGATGCAAAGAAATGTGTACATGTATACCATTAGAACACTGGTCAGGAACAGATTATTTATTTTCTTGTTCATCCAAGGCAGATTATTTATTTTATCATTTTCAAGGACAGATTATTTATTTCCAAAGTCTGCCACCCCCCCCTCCTTAGAATCAAATGGTAGTCCTCTTGTAAAAGATGCAATTTAATTCTGTTAACCGGGAGAGTGTTGTAAGAAAATTGGTCCAAGCACATACTGAAAGAATATTTATCATGAACAAACAATCAATCCATTTATATATATACTGACACTACTGGGTAACACTGTACATGGTAAGCAATGATCTTCTCATAACATACAGGTAACTCCAACCTCATGGAATGAGAAGGGTAAAACTCTTGATTGTCGTGATTTTGTGAACTTATTATATTGTAATATGCCCACATGCTGTACAGGTTTTATGTATGTTTATTAAAGCTGGATCATATTTTGGTACTAAGTGCCATGTCACATACTCATATGTGTTAATTAATACCGTATAAGCAGAATTTTTAGCGAGGATTTAATATTGGCATTATTAGCGAGGGTGCCAAGATTGCTAAAATTGAATATCGCTAAATATAAATCATGCTTTCTTTGTTATAACTTCTTTAATGAGCTTTTTACAGTTGCTAAATTAACATCTCGCTAATGAAGTGCCCCACCACAGCATGATACGCCCGTCAAATATTGTTCAATAATCATACATTGGTTAGGATGCAAGAAAATCAGGTAGCCTTGATTAACAGATTGACACAGATTTCAATTATCTAATTTCCATTTCTTATTATACATCTCTAAGAGACTTACAGTGTAGGGATTGATTATAACAAATAATACTAGTGAGACATGACTGCAATTTGTCACAAATATATAAAAATTGAAATATAATTTTTTTTTTTCAATGAACACATGTATAATTAGTTTTAATCATATTATACAATACTAATTTAGTTTTAATCATACACTAGAACATCAATTGAAAGATCTTTATCTGGACTAGCCATCAAGAACTCTTAATTAACACAAGCATCTTTCTGCCCAACTCCCAAGAGATAAATTAAGACAACAGCTGCATCAGATCTAGAGATGCTCTTAGCTCCTGACAATAAACTCATTAATTTCTCTCTAATTTGACATGCAAATTTCTGCTATCAAAATTCTTCTTGACCAGTGCTTGATAATTATGCCCATGGGAAAAACTGAATTCCTCTCAAAGCATAAACATTTGTTACAGATTGCTGTAAAGTATATAATGAAAAAATAAGTTTTTACTTAATCTAACGCTTTTAATAAGGATACAACTATATTTTTACATTTTTTAGGATTATAAAATTTAGAATTTAAGACACAGTTTTTTTTAAAAATTCACTTTAATTAAAGGTCACAGTGACCTTGAAATAGGCCGTGACACACCTTCTACTTTAGATGTATATGTTTGCCAAGTTTGAAAGCTCTAGGTCTAATAGTTTTCTAGTTATGAGGCGGACAAGATTTTTCCATATTGGGCTATAGCATCTTTATTAAAGGTCACAGTGACCTACTTTCTGTGTGCGACACACCGTCTACCCAAGAAGTATAAGTTGACAAAGTTTCATAATCCTAGGCCTAATAGTATTCAAGTTATGAGCCGGACAGGAATGGACAGACGGACAGACAGACGGACGGACGGACATGAAGCCTATAACATAATACGTCCCGTCTCAAGACGGGCGTATAAAAATAAAATAGCAGTTTTAAAGCTTAATTCGCTAAATTTGCGTCTCGCTAAAATTTCCACTTATACGGTACATGGTTAGAGCTAAAATATGATTTCATAGAGGTGTAATGAGCTAATGATCTAAACATTGAGTATATGCCATTTTTATGGATTATACAGGCCTTAATTGTGTCTTAGCATCCAGCATGAAAATATGGCATATTACATGTATAATGGTTTATTTGCAAAGTTGCACTACACCTTATCCATCACTGCATATTTACTGTAAGAGTAAAAATGCATTAGAGGAAAAAAGGGGGTTATGAAATCCATGCAAGTAACATCAATATACACATGTACAAACATGTTGTCTTTTCTTGATTTTATACAGTTCAATACAGCCACAAAAAGATTGGTTTAATCTTAAGAAAAATCAGAAATATTGTGTTTAAAAACAATTTTTTAAAATATTAACTTTGAATTTATACAATGTGAATACATGTATACATATAACACCATATTACTTTTGCCATTAATAAATAATAAATATATGAGTAAATGTCACAAAAATGATTTTGCCAGTGAAAATTCAGAACAGCAATTATGTATATTACACAAATGTAAAAAATAAATGAACACAATAGACAAGACATATTGATAAATATCAACTTTTAATGATATGTTACTAATTAATTAAAAATTCCTGTGGTAGTATTTTCACTTTCCCATATGCAAAAACTTATTTATAATGATGTTAAGTGTATAAAATTCTGGCCACCAATGAAAAGGAAAAATATATCATTGGATATCTGCAGATGTCATGTAATATGCAATTTAGATATTATCTAGTATTATAGATATTTGTGAAAAAAATGAGAGTCATAGGCAAATCAGTGGATGGACATTTATAAGATAATACTTGATCAATTCATTAATATGTACTATATGGGTAACCAAAATTAAACAAGTTAACTTTGTGCATTGCCTACAGAAATGACATACATAATCATTTCATAATACATGTACATGTGATACTTTTCATATCTGTTTAAATACTTCCTATTTTATTTGGAATATATATAATATACTTTATGTTAAAACACATATGTTGTATGTATTTTAATATATGTTGTATTTTAAAAGCATAATTATCATAATTAAATACAAGTACATGTGTATCTAGTAATTAAACATTTGTGAAAATCCAATTATTCCCATATATTACATTTACATACATACATTTTACAAATAAATAATGGATCATATATACTATAATTATAATATCCATGTTTGCATGCACACTTCTAGTCATAAGAAGACGAAGTGGTGATGTATGTATTGAAAAAAGAAAATGTATACTAATCTGATAATAAGCAGATCTGAATTTTGTCCTCTATGCACCAATGATCCTTATAATAAGATTTATATCCACATTTAAAATTTTACCTTGAATGAAAAAATGACAATTCATAAAATACAATTATACAAGTATAACAATACACACCCATACTTTTGATATAAGCATACATCAACACATTTGATTCACATAAATAAAACCCATGGATATGTACAGATTTAAAATTTGATAAACCTGGAATGGTTGAATTCCTCTGATTACATTGAAATGTACATGTTCATATTTTTGTATGAACATGTAAGTTATTCACACCTGATTACATATACATATTCGTTAAAAAAATTTCTGGTTCTTCTACCAAATATTTTTAAATGTTATCATTAGTCAACAAAAGGTTACTTATTGTTGATTAATTGTTGTACAACTTCTAAACTAAAAAGGTTACACACATAATGCAATATATGTGCAGTACTAAGTTTTTCTTTGAAATTAAATTATTGTAACTTTATTGTTAAATTTATACATTAAATTTTGAATTTTATCATTTTTTTAAATATGTAAGTGAACATTGCCTTGTCTGGAAAAAAGGTCACAAAATTCAAATTAATATGAGCAATCAATTATGTAATCTCAATATGATATAAAGTTTTGCCAAATTCAAAAAGTCGATATAAAATATAAATAAAGTAGGCATGAATACATGTACAAGTACAATGGCAACAATTTCAGATTTTTAAGCCATTTTTAAAATAATGTTTGCTTGCCCTCTCCTGACAAAATGAGAAAAAATTCCTGGAGGTAAAAAAAGTTTAGAGTTAGGCCATTTTTAGCCTGTCATCTGGGAAAGGGAAAACAAACATTTTTTTTTTTAAAGATGGCCTTGTATGAACATGTTGACAGAAATTATGAAGGTGTTTATAATTACTACAGCTGGTTAACTTCTTATAACCTATAATTTTCAACTGACAATTATACACAGCTACCGAGTGAGTGTGGGAGATAAAATAAGTGTGACTGTGTTTAACTAAATGTTTCGATGAATGGCAAGATGATGTATCATCTAATTGTCTACATAAACATCTACATGCTATGGAAAAGAGTTCATCCTCCTGTGGCATCATATGCATTAATGGGGGATAACTCTTAAATTGAAAATCTGTACCGTTTTTTTTTTTTTTCAAAATGTTCATCTTTTTAAAACAATGATTATCTTTGTTTAATATTTTGCCTTAACTTCAGTTGATTTGATTTTTTTCTGAATTTTGTTAGAAATTGTTGTTCTAGCAGAAAAATTCCATTAATAATCAGAGGATTCTTCATCTTTCAATTATAAATTTTAAGCCACAATCATTCTAACATTAACCACATATATTGTAGATTTGTATTTTTAAAATAAAAGTAGAAACATGAAATGTCCAAAGGACACAAAAAAGATGTATAATTTTCAGTTAAGAATACAAATTTATAAATGTTTGTGAATTCCTAAATTATTTTTTCTCCCAACTGAAAAAAGCAGATCTTTTGGAAATAGCCATTTTGAATTTTGTAGTTACCGGTATAAAAAAACAAATCTGGAGTACTGAATCATGTGATAAATGCAAAATTCCTTTCTGGCACTAGATATAGGTACATGTACTACAATTACCAAAGAAAATATTTTACCATGTTATGATAAAACCAAACTACTTCTATCTTGGCTATGCCACTGTCTCCCTTTTTACATGACTAGTACCTCCATCAACTTCTACATTGTGTAAAACAAAAAAAAAACAAACCCCGACTTTGAACATTTCACATGTACATTAAGTAAACAACACTCATAAAAAGAAAGACCAGACAAGTTTTTTGCCTCATTGCACATAACTGTAAAAAGACTAAACAATAACAAACTAGTGCTGTATTCTCATTGAACACTTTCCCCGGCTCCTTTTTTGCGAATTCGCAAACTCCGCCGTGACCCATTTCTGTCCTCATCTGAATCTTGAGTGATGGCATTAGACTCTGGTGCGTCTCCATTAGTGTAAACAGAATCTGAGATGAGATCTGCAGCCAGGATTGACTTGTTTTTAAATTCTAAGTACGCACTCACGTGATATCCCATGTTGGAGTAGGCTATAACATACTCAAAGGCTGAGAAAAAACTAAATGCTGAAATGCAAAAAAATAAATTTGATTTATGTGTATATGTTGAAACAACTAATCAAAATAAAATTTTTCATCTTGCTTCTGAATGAATATTAATAAATGAATTAAGAGTGAAAAGATAGATCAAGTTTAATTCACACTGGTACAATGAATCTGTAAAAGGCTGTTGAATAAGATTGGTACTAAGAAAATATTTGACAAGTACTGTAATATCACAATGTTTGAGGAAAAACTTTTGATATGTGGGGATCTGATTCATGGTTGGAGAATGCTTAGTAGTAATGCAAGAAATTTCAAATGGTCATTATGTGGTCGTCATTAGTTTGTGGCCCTCTACATGCCTCGAAAATAACGAAAATCAGACCCCCGCAAAAATTAGTGATTTCACAGTTCTTTAATTAGAAAATGCTATGCTTAACCCCAAACAATTACATACACATGATTAAAATAACTATGTGTACTTAATTAAATAGATATTACTAACCATATGCGACACAGAACACCCTGTGCAATATAAAAGCAGTCAACAGGCCAGTCGTGGCTGTCATTATACAGGCAAACATTATCCACTTGATTTTTAGGGATTTTTTCTCCTGAAAAATAAAAAAAGGATTATTTTTGTATAATTACACATATATTCTGTATTCTTTGTGTTCCCATTTATTTGCACTGGAAAATGTATACATTTACTTGCAATGTACACTACATGTTTAGATTCATTAAAAGTTGGTATTTTTCTTATTCTGACATGGAAATGGTTAGGGGTGGAGGATAAACAATGCATACATTAATTAAGAAAGGAAAAAAAATTACTACTTAAATTCATTTGCCTTACTTTTTATTCTTACTTGTATTGCAAAAAACTACAAATAGTCATGCTGCTGGGTTCTACTAAAGTCAGAGGGTGTAAAATTTAAATCAAAATTCAAATGTAGCATATCCTGCAGGATAAATTAGATTTAACAAACATCGATGCAACCCATATTTGTTAGTCTTGTGTGTGAATAGTCTTGGGTGTAAATACAACCAGTGAAATGGTTGGTACAGATTGTGCTTAATGTTTTCTTAAACATTGCATATAAAGGCAGAATAATTATTCAATACACACAATTTCCTCAAGTCAAGAGAGAATATTCAAAATTCAGAAAGAGAATGACAAATCTTAACCTCATCCGCATTTTAAATTTTAAATACTTTCTTGTACTTTGTGGGTGGGTGTGGGTTCGTGTGTGTGTGTGTGTGTTGGGGGGGGGGGGTAATGGGGGCTTATGATATTCTTACAGTCGGTGTCAATATATCTGTCCTGGTCCATTTGTAGATGAGGGTATTCAGTAACATGTAACAGCAACTGGCAACCATGAAAACCACAAATATCTTCTCATGAACAGCTGTGAATAAATACAAATAAGAAGCTTAAAGTTTTCATCATTGATAAGTTTAATTAATTTCCTTACTGTTCTATATAAGGCTTTAAATAACAAGGTTGAAGTTATTACACTTATTACATGTTTAACTTTACATTGTGTATATTCTGAACTTCCTAATTTCTGCAAACATGTATACAACACATTCAAGTTTCTGAGTAGGATTTAAGCCCAGCTGTTACTATATACTTGTACTTACGGTAATTTTCCTTGTTGGAAATGTAGGTCACACCAACTAAGCAGGAATTCTCAATAGTGTACAACCAGAAGTTGAGACTTAGTAACTTCTTAAAGAGAGGCCTGAATTCTCTGTCCACATAGGATATCCGGGCTATGTAATAATTATAATGCATGAAGCCCACAGCAAATCGAGGAGTGGCATGTAAACCAATACAGATCCTCCAAAAATAGGCCCCTGGGGTGATGCCCGTTACTGCACTGATGGAGGGTACAATATTGTGTGCCTGAAATGAGAAAATGACCATATAAAGAACATAAGTATTATTTAAGATAACAATATTGTACAGGACAGCAATAATGTAATTTTGCATCATTAAGTGCTAATTTAAGCCTTGTAAATAGTTCTTTTATTACAACTATGAACAACTGAAGTTTATAAACGTTCTTTTTCTCTGTTCTTGAAATAGTAAATGACAATTTTGCAACAGAAAATTTTTACATCAAAGTTGCAGCGCATATTGCTTTACTTGTTTGTGTGGCAAGTTTTCTTGAAATTGAATTAAAACTGAAGGTGAATAACCTTTTACAACAATATCGGTCAAATTCAGAAACCCATATACATGTACATGTACAGATGTAGAGACTGTATTATTCATATCCTAGTGTAGCTACATGTCTACTTTTTTGTAGCTGTGACAAGAGTAGCATTTAGAAAGTTCCATTTTGCACTTATTTAAAGATATTTAAAAAAAGTTCAGCACATGTCTACATATTATCATGATTATGTACACTGTATCTTTCATGTAGTGTGGTCTATTTGTGTAATATTTTTAATTAAAAACCAACCAATTCCAGTATACTGGTATTAATCCTAAGGATTTCAAGTATCAAGCAGGCTAGGTGCTGAGTGATTACCTACCGTTAACAATAAATGTAACATTTATGTTGTTCATTTTATTAGAATATAAGAATATGAAAAAATGAATAGTTAAGATTGTTATAACCTAGAATTAATTAAGTCTTTCTGCAAGTGGTAAGCCATGAGCACAAAGAAAATCATACTGATTATTTTGCAGAGAGCTCTCATGACTCCACATTTTAATCTATTTAGCTATGGTACTCTGCTTCCTCCTGGTGGATAGTTATTTAAGGAAGCAAGTACAGGGCTGTTGACTTAAAATTTTGGAAAATTCTTACGTCTATGACGGCATGTACAATACTCTTGAAAATTTATGAAAAAATCATACATGTATCTTAATTATTATTTAATGCATACAAAATGCCAGCATTTAGTTGATTAACAACACCAATCGGAAAGAAGTCAGAGCTAAAGATTTCATTATTTTTTTGGTATCTCTTTTTTTGCAAAATGCCTGTTATTTTCAATAATTAACAACATGAGATCTTATTTCCTGAGCACACAATAAGTTTCCTTCTCCAAAAGACACACTGGTGTAATCATAATTATGCATAAGTGCCATAAAACACAGAATGATGGTAATTGCCACAAAACACTGATTTTATTGCTGCTGCTGATAATATTATTATATATTCCAAGGTAAGACCAAAAGTATGGCAAATACATCCACAGATACCCCTTATTCAGACACAAGTTTCCCAATAGATGAGAATGGTCAATTTTGGAGAATATTCCTATTACAGCTTTGTTGTATTTCTTAAACAATAAATATAAATGTATCTGAACATGCTGAAAGGCTCAGTAGTCAGTACTTTGAACATGCTGAAAGGCTCAGTAGTCAGTACTTTTTTAGCACTTGCATACATATGGAAAAACAGTGTATAACTTCTGATAAAACACAGATGTTAAAAATATCTTTGCGCCTTTGGCTCTGTGTAAGATAGGCCTAATTGTAATGGGATACGTGTTAACTGTTACCAGATATATTGCCAGATTGCCACGCCCATTGATGCTAGACATGTTTTAAATCATTTTTTGAAACTAAGGCACATTTCTATGAATTACTAAAGAGTTTTTATAAAAGAAAACATTGAACAATACCTGACAAACTGTCTCATTAACTTCACTAAACCGGAATAACATTCCATGTAGAAAACAGTACAGCAATGAAACCGCTGGCAAGGAAACTGTTACAATTGAAAAAGGTTTGAATGGAATTGTGAGTTGTACATCCTCAACTCTTTTAGATTCTAATTTCCCCATTTCATTTAAAATACACAGTTCACGACAGAAACAAAACTAGGATTCAATATAATACCCGGCGTAATCAACGTTAATCAACAGGACATTCGGTTGGTGGGGAAAATATAGAAGGGTCATGCATAATATATTCGTGCATAAAATTTCTTGCTAAATGTGATGTTTTTACGTATGTTTATATTGTAAACATAAAAAGATAAAATTGAATATCAAAATTATTAACATTTGTATTTATATTTATTATGATTTCATGTTTATCTCTGAATTTATATCTTCTCGAATTTTAATTGTATGATTTAATAGAAAAAAGACAACATGGCGGCGAAGGTGCACGTGTGTTTGTTTTCATTTTTGTATTTTGTAGATTTGTAACATTTATTGGGGCATTTCTGTATTTTAAATATTTACTTTAAATTACATATATATTTGATAACATATGATAGTAGTTATTTATTTTAAACAGTTAATCTCGGATGGATAATATCGAAAATATTACAGGAGGGAAATCACTTTTCAGAACTTTTGTTTAGCTCATCTGAGCTGAAAGCTAAAGTGACATTTTCTGATCGTCCGTTGTCCATCGGTCTGTAAATTTTTCACATTTTCAACTTCTTCTCTAAAACAACTGAGTCAATTTCAACCAAACTTTGTACAAAGCATCCTTGGATGAAGGGGAGTTTAAATGGTTAAAATGAAGGGCCAAGTTCCCTTCCAAGGGGAGATAATTAATAAAAGACAAAAATAGAGTGGGTCATAGAAAAATCTTCTTCTCAAGAACCACTGGGCCTGAAAAGCTTAAACTCATATGGAAGCATCCTGGGGTAGTGTAGATTCTAAATTGGTAAAATCATGACCCACGGGGTAGGGTGGGGCCACAATTATAGGGAATTCAAGTTTTACATTGAAATATATAGGAAAAAACTTGTAAAAACTTCTTCTTAAAAACCACTGGACTAGAAGAGCTGAAACTTATGTGGAAGCATCCTGGGGTAGTATAGATTCTAAATTGGTAGAATCATGACCCACGGGTTAGGGCGGGGCCACAAGAGGGAATCCAAGATTTACATTGAAATATATTTAGGAAAAAACTTTATAAATTCTTCTTCTCAAGAACCACTTGACCAGAAATGCCGAAACTTACGTGGAAGCATCCTGAGGTAGTATAGATTCTAAATTGTAAAAATCATGACCTAGGGATAGGGCGGGGCCACAAAATAACATAGGGGGATAGCTGTTAAAGAACAGAATGGCCAAAGTTACTCAGGTGAGCAATGTGGCCCATGTGTCTCTTGTTTAATGTCAGAGTTAAGAAATGCAAAAATTACAAGGATGTCTTATTACACAGTAATATATAATGTGAAATATATTTTCTGATGCAAATGGTCCTTTGCAACAATCAGTCAAAGACTTCAACTGTCAAAGAATCTGTCGTAATTTTTAAACTCAGATCATTCTTAAATATGGGCAATTTTAACTCTGCTTAGCATAGGAACATAGGCACTGCATAGGAACTGTATTTTACATTTAAATAGTACCTGGTATATCTTTTTTATACTAATTATGTTTTGACATTTCTTTCAGAAGTTAGATGATGAGAAACCAAAAGGTTTGAAGTTTAATGATTTAGTGGTTGACATTTCATTCCATCCTAACCGTGAGGTGATTGCTGCAGGGCACATAGATGGAAATGTCACAATGTAAGTGACAAGTTATAAACAATGTTAATGAATGATAATTAACAATTTTAGAGACAATTTAAAAATCTTAAAAAGTCCTTGTTCATCAGATGATACCTTAATAAACTTTTAAAATATTGTAACGGAACCGAGGGTATCGTGTAATAAACTCGTGGGCCGCTATTGGTTTTCTGGTCACGGGTCGAATTTGATGGTAACGTTGGTCACAGTTTATGTTATGGTCAATGACCAACTTTTGGTCACTTATTTGGTTGACGTAATGACCAACTTTTGGTCACTTCTTTGGTTGACGTAATGACCAACTTTTGGTCACTTCTTTGGTTGACGTAATGACCAATTTTTGGTCACTTTAAATAATGTTTGTTAGGAATAACACTTGTTAAAAGTTTATAACATTTATTAGGATGATCAAATGGTTCAATTATAAACACACAGAATGGTACACGTAACTTGGTTGGTACAACGTTATTTGGTTAACAAAAAGGTGACCAACCGATGGTCAATCCAGGACGTTCCTATTAATTTGGTTCCTTAAATGGTTTCGTATACATAGACTTGGTACCGTCTTATAACCGAAGTACACGGAGTCGTTCCCCAACCAGGGAAGGCTGTGTTGAGTCGCTCCCCACAGCCGATAGTCTAAACCCAAAACAGCTAGTTTATATAGACAAAAGTTGTTATGATGACGAAAGAGACAATCAGATACCTATTACGTCACAATCAATTCAATCAATAAGTTAGCGGGTTTTAACCATCAAATTTACCTACTAAATTAATAACGTTGTACCCATATAAAACATACAAAATACATCACTTTGACATTTAATTATAAAATTAAATAAAATTAATAAAGTCATTAAATCAATTATTGTTCATTTCTTTCGTTAACTGTTCATTGACAATTATTTACGGAGTTTATAAACATCGGGTTCAAGTTCCATATATTCCAAACTTGTCAACAAGAGTTAACCCGAATTTCACAGGTACACTTCGTGATACATAACAATATACATTCACTCAAACTTTTTACGAAAACAATAATATTTACTTTTTTGTTAATCAGCTTGTAAATACATGTAGTTTGATTTGTGTAGTGTGGTTGCTTGTTATAAACAAAATGAATATTATTTTAACTTTTACAGACACACTTATTCCAACACCGAAGAAAGCAATGAATTGATGAAGTTAGAACATCACAAGAAAGCCTGCAGAGCTGTTAGATTCTCTGATGATGGACTCCATCTCTACACAGCATCCAAAGACAAATCCATACAAATAGTAGATCTTAACACAGGAGCAGTCAAACATAAAATCAAAGCTGCACATAGGTAAAGTTAACATAAGTCTCCGATCTTAACACAGAATAGTTAACTTCAAGCTTAAAATCAAAACTGCACATAAGTAAAAAATATAACCTCTTAAACCTGGCACGGTAAAAGGGAAAAAAATCATGTCCAGTTGTTTCCCTTGGGGGAACTTAATTTGTTACTCTTCACCTAAGACAAATGTGTGATACAACCTATCTGTTAATATCTCAAGATTTTAGCTAATCCAGAACAAATTAAAGAATGCTTACACATATTTGTTGGTGCCTACCTTCTACAACAATACCGTATAATGGGTCTATGACATGTGACCGAAAGACAACTCACCGAACGACAACTCGCCGACATTTTTTTCACCGACACTATAAAAGTCGTCGATACGACAACTCATCGAAAGACAGGTCACCGACAGACAAGTCATGGACAGAATATAATACATCGACACTCACCGACATCATCAAAGTTTTGTAACAACCACTCTAAGTACGGAATAAAGGAATCCTTTGTCCTTTCAACACAATCCTTAACTACAGTCAAAATTCTAGCATTTCTTTTTGCGTCTTTTTTTCATCAAATCGTAAACTTCACCCATAATAACCGACCTTTTCACCATTTCTGTTCGTGGTTATTCCGATTTAAGAGATGCAATGAATTTGAATATATCGGGATGTGCTACGCCAACAATACTGGCAAATCGTCTGAGGTGCCAACCTTCCAACAAATTGTTAGTTCGGAGGTCTTGATTTAGAACTCTTTCATAGACACTCCAAGTCTGAGGGGGAATTTTCCCGTTTTACAGGTAAAAACCATTGTCGGTGAATTTCTACTCACCGACAATATTGTCGGTGAATTGTCCATTCGGCGAATTTGCACGCGTCAGTGACTTTCACTTTTGTCGGTCAACTTTCTGTCGGTGAGTTGTCCGGCACTGCCATATAATCCCTATTAACCCCCCCTGCCCCTATAAGTGCCCCCTATTCCTTTTTCTCTGCCTACAGGTCAAAAATATTTTAAATTGTAAGCTTACTTAGAAATATGACTGTTGAAGCTTACATGGACTTTTTCTGTGTGTAATTTTAATATTTTATGTCTCTGTATATATTACAGTTCACCCATATACAGTCTACTGGTAACTGGAGAAAACTTTCTAGCTTCAGGAGATGATGATGGATATTTGAAGGTAAAATTTTGAGAACCAGATCAGATAGAAAGGAAATTAACCAGTCTGACAGGGACTAGAACTGCCAAAATATCTCCAAATTTGTTGTTAATATCCATGTTTACAATGTTTTCAATCTCACTTGACTTAGCTATGACCTCTCAACTGCTGAACTATGACGTCATGTATCCCTGTATTACAAAAAGACAAGAGCAAAGGGAAATTCAAAGAAAATGTAATAAAAAGAAAATTCAGTTATGTAGTTGAATATGGAATTTAATTCACTCATGAAGCAGGATTTTCTTGACCGGCTATATTTTCACTCGTGAAAAAATCACAAAATCCTGACCCATTTGTGAAATAAATTTAATGTCCAAGTAGAGAACATCGAATATCCTCCATTTTACTTTGTAATTCATTGACTTTTTCCTGTATATGTTTTGAATGTAATCCCACATGTACCTTGAGTACATTTCTAAAAAAAATTATTTGATTTTCATGTTATAAGGCCTATGAACTGAGGGTCCTTTCCATTAATCATAAGGTATCATACCTGACTATTTTGTGATTCCCCTAGAACAGCTGTGGGACCTGAGAACTAAGACAGCTGTGATGGATTTGAAGGAGAATGATGATTACATCAGTGACATGGCTATAGACAACCAACAGAAAATCCTACTGGCAACAAGGTGAGTATTCTTCAATAGGGATCATATCAATAAAATTTCACTGGTTACAAGGTCATTTACTTTCTATAGAAATAATAAAGATAAATGTATATGTAAAATCCTACTGGCAACAAGATTAGGTTCTTTCTGTAGAGATCATAGAGATTATTATAATGTTTAGAATTATTTAAAAAAAATAAAAGAACGTAAATTAGTTGCTCTTAGTTTAGTCAAGACAATTTAGTGATATAC